GTCACACACGTCTTTCTTCTCTTTCTCAGACTCTTCCTGACTTTTCTTTCATTCTCCTGGGTGGTTACCAACAGCCAGTGCATGCCGGAGTATGTGGTGTGATGTGTGGGCGGCAAAAAATAAAATAAAAAAGACCAAAAAGTGGGGATTCACTGGCCAGAAAAAGCCACTTCATAGCTGTGTGGTGTAGACCAGGCTGAATAGTGGCGGTCAATTCTTCAGCCTTGCAAGCTGTTGAATGGTGCAATCCCAGCACAAGCTGCTATGGCTTCTGCTGTAGCATCGCTTTCATCGCCTCCGGCGATGGGCGTCCAATGGTCCAATGGTCCAATGGTGTGTGTGTGTTGGTGTACCTGTCTATGTACGTGTTGTGTTGTGTATATGTGTCCTGTGAAGGTTCCACATGCGCGGTATGTTTTGGGACAAGATTCAGTCGCCCATCTCCTTTCCTTCAAGGTACTTTTCATGGTTGTGCATGTGTATTATCTGCACACGTGTACATTGCTTTCCAAGGCTAAGTGGAGAAATCGGAGCATCCTCAGAGTCTGCATTCAGTAGCACTGAAGTGTACTTTCACTCACTACTGCAAGCCTACTACAGTCTGTGTTGAGTGTATTCTGTATCCTAATGCTAACTTGAGATGCTGCATCTAATGTACAGTGTTGCTCCATGAAATCCGATCGCGTGAGTCAAGTTTACGCCTTGCGCCAGTGCACCAGCGCACCAGTATTCACAGGTCTTGGTTGCAGAGTGCCCGGCGTTTCATTGACTCGCATGGTAGCGTTTCATTGCACTGTAGTTGTTTGAGTGCATGTATGTGTACTTGGAGTTTTCAACAAAGATAAATTGATAGGAACAATGACCACCACCACGCCAACAGCAAAATGTCTTCATTGTGCTGTCATGTACATGTACATGTGTGATCGTTATTGGCTGTGCTGTATTGGTGTGCTTTGCTGCTGCCATCGCTGCTGCTGCTGCTGATGTCACATCAGGGATCTGAACCTGCTACCTCACGTTGTTGGAGAGCGTCCCAAAGGTCCATACAACCTGTATGCTGTGTCGGTAAGAGATTGTTGTTCTAACAAGTTTGCATCTGGCTGTGAATGGGTGTGCATTCAGGGTTGGGGGTGTGTATGTGCGTGTATGGATGCGTGTGTGTGCGTGTGCGTGCGTGCGTTCATATGTGTACGTGTGTGTAAGCGTACACGTGTGCGTGTGGGCACAGATGTGTTTGCATTATGCGGCTAAATACACTTGCATGTGCATTCAGTCATACTGTATGTTCTCTGTAATAAGAGCTGTGCTTATATTTCTTCAGCATCCTCTACCCATATCCTCTACCCATCCTTATAATATCAGAGACTGTACTTGTGTTGTTTTCAACCACTATCAACTCCATACAAAGCAAGAAGAAATACATGTATGTGGTAGACATGGTGCATGCTGCACTGAATTTCACTCCGCAGGAAGTGCCAAGAAAGAGAAACGAACACACACTGCGCTTATGACAGAGACTGTGGTAGTAATGTTTGGAAAGGTGCTCCCAGTAGTATCACAGACTGTACAGGTAATGGAGACCTTCGCTGATAATAGAGAATATACTGCACATGTACTTCGTGCTGGAAGTGAGTTGCCGCGGGTCTTTCTTCTTCTTCACTTCTTTTGGGGACTAAACTCTTTTAAGGTGTATGTGTTGATTCTGCGTTCGTTAGTCTGATCTTTGGCTTGTGTCTTTGACAATGCTGCTGTTGCTAATTTTGTTGCTGTGGATATCTCGTTTTCTGTAGAATCATTATGGAACGATGAGCGGTGGCCACTGTAAGTAGAATTCTTTGAATTTCTTTCCTCTCATCTGACATGCATTCCTTTTTGTACTGATAATTAGTTGCTACTGAGGTGGTAATGGTGCAGAATTGAACTGATGGTAATGGTTCATCATGGAAGTGATGGTAATGGTTCATCATGGAAGGAGTAGCTCCGGGAGACAACGGTATCATGACTTTACCCGGGGATTCCGCGCAACCCCCTAAATTTCGCATTGTACTACCGGAAACCATAATATGCATGTACATGTACATGTATCAGCTATTCAGTATTGGCTAAACTGGAACCCGCTGTAGAGATCTCTGGATCCACCCCTGCTAATGGTGTACCTCTTGCATTCTTATCTCTCAGCATAGGCATGTACATGCATCTGCTTCTTGCCTACTCCACAGACACGGCATTCTGCAAGAATGTGTTTGACAACGACTGGGGTTCGTATGATGACTCCATTGTCAAGAAAGTATCTGCTGGTCAGATGATGCAGGTAGGCCGCCGCCGCTCTGACCCTCTCCTTTTCTCACGATGTCTATTTTTAAAAACAGTATTGATATTTGCCATTGGCTCGGGTGATTAGGCCAGTATGTGGTGACAGTGACTACTTTTTGTAGTTTAAATACTAGCGTTAGTTTAAATACTAGCGTTAGTTTGAGTACTAGCGTTAGTTTGAGTAGCAGCAAACAAGCCTTGATTGCCCTTGTTGTTCTGTAGTTACTAGCGTTAGAATTATTATAGTTTATTATGTGTATACATGTATACATGCGTATGCCTGGTTGACACTGCATTCAGCAATAAGACACTGTAGTGTGTCACTCCATGTCGGCCGTGGCAGCAGACACCAGTCAAAGGACATTGCTGGAGTTTTTTTGTAGGCAACCCACTCGAACCCAGTTGGGTGCGCAAAGCTTCATGTACAGAACAGTAGCAACAGCTGCTCGCGCCAGTTGCCTCAAGACTGCCATAGGTTTGACATGGGAAATCTGAGCAACAACGAATCCCGAGTGGTTTCTCGTCTTATATGTGTGCAGAGCTGCATGCACATGTATTGTATGCACAAGCTTGTTTGGAAAATGGCGAAGTACGGGTATTAGGCTATTAGCCCCTTCTCTCATAGTCATTGCCTGGCCACTATCGTCTTTCTTTTTCACACCAACATTCCAATGGCTGTTGCTCCCATCTTTCTGTTTCTACTTTGTGTGCAGAGTTCTGCAGCGTATATCCTGTTCTACACGTGTGTGCCATTTCAGCGGCCATCTATCAAGACCTGGTAAAGTAGTGCTATTTCTTGATAAAAGCATGACATTGCACCCCGCTACGTACCCGCTGCATACGGGCTTGAGTCTTGGCTGACAAGTACAATTCATTGGAATTCGGATAGTGTGCGTGCCCTTCCTTGATTATATTAGTTTCTTCCCGCCTAGGTTTGTGCTTTTATTGTCGTTGTTCTGTCAGCTCTTATTTATGACAATACTCTTGTCCACTCTCCCTCCCCATGTTCCATGCCCATTGCATGATCATTTTTCAACTTGTGTTGCTGGTCACAATTCAATGCATGCACTAGTCATCGGTTTTTTGTGTGTGTGTTTATGACGTTTTGCTACTCGTCTTTGGACAAACTGTCCTCTGTGCGAAAATGTCTGTTTAGATTGTGCTGAGTGGTGCTGCATGCGTAGTCATCGCCCGCTTTGCCCATAGTACATGTATTTAGTTTTCCTCACAAAAAGTGCCTGCCCTCCTGTCCTCTGCCGCCTCCCTCGAAACTGCCAATATCATTCCGCCCAACCAATTACTTGAACAATACCATAAATCATGCCTGCATGCTTATTACTCTTGGTAGCACATACAAGACAAGAGAAGTCTTACCAGGGCTCTGCTTGCATAATACATTGTTCAGCTTGCTCTTTACGTACTAGCCTACAGCCATTTTAGGCCCGGAGCGTGTCGTTGGAGCCATAAGAAGCATGCCTTGGTTGTCCATCACTCGCCTTCCCCATGAAACACACAGATATTAATTTCAACTTGCTGTCGCCATTGCATCCTTTCCTTCGCCTGTAGTTCTGCTATTTCGTGTTGTGGCCTGATTCTTTTCCAGAGCTCCTTGACATAATGCTTTTTATTCAACGCTATTTTCCTGCTATTTTCTTGCTTCTAATTTTTTAAGTCCTGTCAAGATTGTTCCCACTTACGTCTTGCTTCTTTCACCAATACTAGTTCTGTGCTGTTCGTATCCATTTCATGTTGCTAAAACGGTATGTCACCGGCCACACCTGTTTGCTTTGCTGAAGTATTATGCTGCCTCTGGTACAGTGTGTACTGTGCTAATAATGGACCCCGATTCCCATCCTTGACACCATATAATTATACAAGCGCTCTCAAGAGAGACCACAATATCATGGTGATGTCCCTGCTGTAACTACATGATTGTATGGTAACGCTAACAGGTTGCACCAAGCAAAGCACTGCAATTTCACAAATTTTCGGTGTACTTTTATTTTCGGTACTTTCGGTGCATCTGCTTCATACCTAAAATTTCAATACACCGGACAAGCACTAACACACGTAATACAAATTTGGGAACTGCTTCTCTGTACCTAAAATTTCTGTTCACCTAACCTGGCCTTTTGTCCTCATACCGAAAATATTGAGCACCTAAAATTTCTGAAATTACAGTACATAAACACTTTTTATGCACTCTTGGTTGCATCTTTGTAAGGTTACTTCCGTGCCCAGGCCATACTAACTATTACCATATTTTCCAGAGTATAAACCGCACCTAGATTTGTTTGTCCTGAAATACAGACATCTACTGTACTCTGTTTATCAGAGATAAAGGAAGGGGAAGCTTTGCGAATACGAATTGTACAAAACCAATAATAATAGTGCACAATAGTGTCATGATGTATGAGGAGTACCGTTAGACATTGGCGTCCGGTTTTGTACTCTGTTTATCACCATTAAATTTGACCATTGTAGTGTAAGCCGCACCGACTGTTTTTGGGTGAATTGCTGGTGTTCCAAGTGCGGCTTATACTCAGGAAAATACCATATATTCGTCACTGCTATGCCTTCAACTCGGTTCAAGTGCATCCAGAAACACACCGCTATTGCACACACTCGTACATGTACATAGTATAGACGTAGTATACAGTTCTGCTGAACACAAACCATTGAACATTTCAACAGTTCTTTCATCTTTCATTAGAAAACAAAACAAAACAGGAGGGCAAAATGAAGTAGGTGCAAGAAGCATCTTGTAAAGAAAAGGGTGTCCGGGAACAGTGTTGTATGTATCGATAACAGACACTGTACAACAAATTCAACAATCTAACTAAGATAATAATAGGCTGCTGCTGCTAAGGAAAGGAACAGCGGGGGCTAGGAACTAGAGGATTGTTTCGGTGGAGAGAGGGGAAAGGTAGGGTTGAATCATGAACATTGCTGGTAAGACAGTTGAGTGTGGCTTCATCCATTTGTCAGCAAAATAATGAGGGCATCGCATGTATTTTGTTACGTATTTTGTATTATGTATAATAAACCAATTTGTGTTTCATGGGTATTGCAAGGTTAGCAGGATTGTCAGGTGTGGTTAGTTCAAACAAATACCAATCAATGTCATGCAGGTTAGCATAGTACACAAGATGCCTAATATGCGAGGCTAAATTTCATGTCTGCAATGAATTTAGGATGTATGACGAATTATGAGAAAACTCGCCGGTCAATGTTTTAGTTTAATGTAGAGTGCAAGTTTAAGTCTGTGATGAAGAGTTTCGAAAATCATTGCGTTTTCAATGTACGCATCAGTGTTTGAACTGCTGTGAGGGATGTTCGGACAGCAGGCTTGGCTTGTACCTTTGTCTTGGTCTGGGCCTTAGCAGTAGTCACAGAAGCAGCAGCAGCAGCGGTAGTGCTTGTCGCTGCAGACTTCTGGACACTGGAGAGTGGCTTACGGTTAGCACTTGTGGCAACTGTTGAGCGCGAAGACATTGTAGAGCGCAGCGTGGGCTTGACTGCGGGCAACTGGCGGCCTTGTGAAACGGCCGTCTTGCGCTGGTTCAGCTTGACCTCCACAGAGTGCTTGTGTTCCAGAGCTTTGAGTGTTCCAGATAGTCGAGTCATGACCTTAGCCATACCATTCAAACCCTGCAAGCAACATATTATGTACGCAACCGTCAATGACTGTTTCATCATTTAATTATAATAGGAGTTGAAGCGCGACCATTACAGTCACTAGCAATGCGTGATAGCCTGCTATCTGTACAATAGTGGACACAATGGAGAAGCCAAGCAGGATAGCTATCTTGCGGTGCACATTGCCCGATATTCTGAGGTCACGGAGTGAGATACTAGCCCCACTATCTAGGGTTGGGTCAACTGAGCTTCGATAAGTGCAAAAACCAGTAGCAGCGCTTTGCGATGAGAGAGTTCGTAGAAACTATAGCAGTGTGTTACTCTATTGAAATAATGGACCATCAAAATTCTGGGGACACTGGCTGTTTTCACAAGCATATACGGGATTTTTTTGACCCAATCTACTTCTACTCGGGTGTGGACTAGTGATTCATTTTATGGAGCATGAGCGATATGCTACGTTTCGGCTGGGTTTTCGAGGTTTGGGCTTAGACAGAAGAAAGGGTACCTCTGCAAGGCTCTCAACGCCAGAAGTGAACAATTAGAAGAATCCAAAAACCCTACCAGAAACAATGTAAAATGCAGCTGCTGCAGAACGTGGCAGAGAATCCAAAAACCATGCACCGCATGAACTAGATCAGCCATTCTTACCTGACGATGACCAACATCCGCAGCAAGAGCCGTTAGCAAGTCACTAGCAGGTATCGCCAAAGACGAGTTTTCTTTATAAGTGTACAGAGTCTCGGTGATAGAAGCCACACAGTTTACCGTGTTGAACACAGCTGAGCGTGTGGATGGTAGCTGCAGCAGGACGGACACATTCAGTACACAGTTGCATGCAGGTGAGCTTGGCAATGTGCACTAGCATAGGCATTGGAGCTACCATGCCAACATAACTCCATGAATAAGAATACCGTAAAGTACCGCGAGAGCGCCCCGTCTCGCGAGAGTGCCCAACCTTGATTTTACAGCCAAGGGAAGAAAGTCGTATGGCAGAGTGCTACTAACTGTGTGAGAACCTTAGTGTACTAAGGTTCTCACACTTGGCATGTTTTATGTGGAGCTCGCATCCGCTCGAAGGTATACTGGGTATGGATGACTGCACGACGTGCAATGTGTGTACAAGGCCCGCGTTGCATGACCTACAGACAGGAAACCACCTCCACAAGACGATCACGAAAGGACGAGATGGTGGGGTGCTCTTGCGGTACTTTACGGTACTAGCAAGGCACATGGTGCATACATGTACATTGCTGAAGTGTCAATGGGGGTTGGGGGGTTAACAATGGGTTTGTTTCACTTCTAGTCATAACTACAGCCACCAGACAACCAGCCTCCTCTAAGTTGTCCAGCAACAAAGTCGAGTTCAAAACAAAGCGGACTCAAGAACACTGTAAATAAAAACAACTGGGTGGACAATCATCCTTACCTGAGCAAGGTTGCGAAGGATTTGCAGAGAGTACATCACAATGTCCTGGTTTGGTCTGGAGCGATTACAGCTCCGGATGAGCTCGAGCAGAACGGGTACCGCTCCATCCCGTGCAATTGTCTCACAGCACTTATCGGACAGGGCAGTTGCAATGTCGAGGTTCTTGACGGCTCGGCGTACAAACGTAGTGCTGGTGCTCTCAAGCAGGATAGCCAGAGCTGAACGAGTACGATTTCCCAGCAGCATTGGCTCGGTGGCTGCCGAGTTTGCAGCGAGGACACGCTTGCGCACCTCAGCTAGCTCCCGGTCATGAGCAAGCTGACTGCGCAACTTCCAGCCCCTCCAGGTAGCCTAAACAATGTGGCACGCAAGGATTATAGACCACAAGGACAGCTTGGTTGACTACTGCTAACTCTAACAATGAGTTGAACAAGATGAAACTTGCTAAGGGTCGATCTGAATTGCACCAATTTGTTGTCAAAAGAACAGTAAAGATCCTGAGGATCATATCCATCTGCTTAAGCTATTGGTCACTCGCAAATGTCATCTTCTGTTTTGATGTATTTTTATTTTAAACCAGCATATTTCATATTTGTGCTCAACACCATCAGCATGGTAGCTTCACCTTGTTTCCGTGCTCACTAGTCTGTTGTGACTCACCAGTTGACTGTCGCCACTGCAATGAATCAACCTGGTCCGAATGACATGAATGTTCACACTAATAAGCTATGCAATCATGCGCACTGTGACAAAGCGTAATATAAATGTGTATTCCCGGTCACCAATTCAACTACATGACATTGTGTAAACACAGCCCCAGTAAAGTCTTGAAATTCATTCTTCAATCACCGCCACCAGGTTTTGTGGAGTTAATGCCGTGTACAACGTGTGCATGTGTGCTAATGCTTTCTCACACAAAGTACAGCAAAGCCATGGCGCACCTGTATAGTCGTTGCAGCATCAGCAAGTTTGCGAGCATGCCTGATGTCACCAAGCCGCAGTCTCCACCAGTTCTGGATAGACACTGCTGCAGAGTTCCGCCGGGCATGCTGCCTGGCACGCCTCCGGTGCTCCTGTCTAGCCAGCCAGCCACGGCATGCAGCCTGTAGATTGACGATGGCTGCCAGAGTTCTCCGATAGCGCTGCCGTGCAGCAGCACCTCGCCAGAATGCCTGAATGGCAATAGTAGCATTGCGCCTCAGCTTGTAGCCAGTGCTTAGTTCACGGGCTGCAACTGCAGCTCTCCACCATGATTGAATTGTACGCGCAGCTGACTTCTGCCTCTCAAACAGCTGGTGCTGCATATAGGTACGCATGGCACTTTGAAGTCGAACTGCTGCGCTGCGCTGCTGGGAAAACCGACGGCAAGCAATGACACATCGAACACATGCCTGCATCTTGACAATTGCCAGCCTCGCACTAGTGAAAGTTTGCTGTGCTTGAACACGTCTCACATGCGACTGGAGAACAACTACGGCATGTTGAACCTGCTGGTAGCGCCGTTTGCACTGCCACATTCTCACAGCTGCCTGCAGAGTGATGGCTGCACCTCGAGTAATATGATACTCCTGAACAGCACAGACTCTAGCACGCGATGCCCGATACCTCTGCTGCATAGCAATAACATGTTGTCGATACACCTGGAAGGTTCTCTGCTCACAGAATGATCTCCACTGCTTCTGTATGGTGCACGCGGATACTTGCCGCTTTGCAATGTCATGCCGCACTTTAGCTCCCCGCCAGTGTCGCTGTAGATTCAAGCTAGCCAGTTGAACTCTCCTGTACTGCTTCTGAGCCAGGAACATTCTGACAGCTGACTGCAAGCGCACTGCAGATTGCTTCTGTCCTACATACTGTCTGTGCTGGTGGATACCACGCCAGTAGGTCTGGATGAGAAGAGCTGCAGAACGCTGTTGATGGTAAGAGTGACGATCGCGACGACCTGCTGAGAATGCTCTCCATTGAGTCTGCAGAACGCAGGCTGCACTGCGCTGTTTGTTGAATGACTGCCTTTGCCGATGACCTCGGACAGCACTCTGGAGGCAAATTGCTGCTTCTCGTTTTGCCTTGAATCTCCGGCAAGCAATCACACATCGCACACATGATTGCAGTTTGATAGCAGCATGCCTTGTAGAGTTGAAGTTCTGCTGTGCCTGAACACGTCTCACATGCGACTGGAGAACAACTACGGCATGTTGAACCTGCTGATAGCGCCGTTTGCACTGCCACATTCTCACAGCTGCTTGCAGAGTGATGGCTGCACCTCGAGTAATATGATAATCCTGAACAGCACAGACTCTAGCACGCGATGCGCGATACCGTTGCTGCATAGCAATAACATGTTGGCGATACACCTGGAAGGTTCTCTGCTCACAGAATGATTTCCACTGCTTCTGTATGGTACAGGCAGATACTTGCTGCTTTGCAATGTCATGCCGCACTTTAGCTCCCCGCCAGTGTCGCTGTAGATTCAAGCTAGCCAGTTGAACTCTCCTGTACTGCTTCTGAGCCAGGAACATTCTGACAGCTGACTGCAAGCGCACTGCAGATTGCTTCTGTCCTACATACTGTCTGTGCTGGTGGATACCACGCCAGTAGGTCTGGATGAGAAGAGCTGCAGAACGTTGTTGATGGTAAGAGTGACGATCGCGACGACCTACTGAGAATGCTCTCCATTGAGTCTGCAGAACGCAGGCCGCACTGCGTTGTTTGTTGAATGACTGCCTTTGCCGATGACCTCGGACAGCACTCTGGAGGCAAATAGCTGCTTCTCGCTTTGCCTTGAACCTCCGGTAAGCAATCACACATCGCACACATGATTGCAGTTTGATAGCAGCATGCCTTGTAGAGTTGAAGTTCTGCTGTGCCTGAACACGTCTCACATGCGACTGGAGAACAACTACGGCATGTTGAACCTGCTGGTAGCGCCGTTTGCACTGCCACATTCTCACAGCTGCTTGCAGAGTGATGGCTGCACCTCGAGTAATATGATAATCCTGAACAGCACAGACTCTAGCACGCGATGCCCGATACCTCTGCTGCATAGCAATAACATGTTGGCGATACACCTGGAAGGTTCTCTGCTCACAGAATGATCTCCACTGCTTCTGTATGGTGCACGCGGATACTTGCCGCTTTGCAATGTCATGCCGCACTTTAGCTCCCCGCCAGTGTCGCTGTAGATTCAAGCTAGCCAGTTGAACTCTCCTGTACTGCTTCTGAGCCAGGAACATTCTGACAGCTGACTGCAAGCGCACTGCAGATTGCTTCTGTCCTACATACTGTCTGTGCTGGTGGATACCACGCCAGTAGGTCTGGATGAGAAGAGCTGCAGAACGTTGTTGATGGTAAGAGTGACGATCGCGACGACCTACTGAGAATGCTCTCCACTGAGCCTGCAGAACGCAGGCCGCACTGCGTTGTTTGTTGAATGACTGCCTTTGCTCATGACCTCGGAAAGCACTCTGGAGGCAAATAGCTGCTTCTCGCTTTGCCTTGAACCTCCGGCAAGCAATCACACATCGCACACATGATTGCAGTTTGATAGCAGCGTGTCTTGTGGAGTTGAAGTTCTGCTGGGCTTGAACACGTCTCACATGCGACTGGAGAATAACCGTTGCACGTTGTATTTGTTGATAGCGACGCTTGGACTGCCACATTTTCACAGCGGACTGCAGTGTGATGGTGGCACCACGGCAGACATGATACTGCCTGACAGCAATGAGCATAGCACGCGATGCTCTGTAGCGTCTCTGCATACTAACAACATGCTGCCGATACAGCTGAAAGTCACGCTGCGCCAGAACTACTCTCCATGCGCGTTGAAGGGTAGACGCTGCATGCTGCTGTGCAAGTAGGTTCCTTCGGGCAATCGTTCCCCTCCAATGACGCTGAAGAACAATGCAAGCCTCCCTCATCGAGTTGTATTTACGCTGGACCAGAGCCATCCTCCAGGCACTTTGCAGGCGGATCGCTGAGAGCCTTTGCTGGTTATAGACTCGTTGCTGGCAAAGTGAACGCCAGAAAGCTTGAAGTTTGAGCGCTGCAGTGCGCTGTGAGTTGTATACCAGCAGTGCTTGGCGACCCCGGGTGCATGCCCTCCATCGGCTCTGAAGCACTTTAGCTGCCTGCTTCTTTTCCAGGAATTGCTTCCGGTCACGATAGGATCTCAGTGCACTCTGAAGACGAATGGCCGCAGCCCGTTGCTTGGCAAATCTCTGGCATGCAATCACGCAGCGAACGCAGGCTTGCATCTTGATTGCGGCTTGTCGTGCCTGGTCAAAACTGCGCTGTGCCTGAAGGCCTCTCACCTTTGCCTGCAGCATTACGACCGTTTGTTGAAGCTGCTGATACTGACATCTAGCTTGCCACATACGGACGGCTGCCTGTAGCGTGATAGCAGCACCACGACACACATGATAATCTTTCACTGCAATTGTCATGGCTCTGGTTGCCCGATAGCGTCTTTGCAGCGTCACAATATGGTAACGGTAGGTCAGGAATTTCTTTCGGTCAGCAAGACACCTGAGCTGGTGCTGGATGGTACAGGCAGCGTTCTTCATCTTCAAGTATGCCTGATGCTGCTGGTGGCTACGCACAGCACTCTGCAGATGAATGGCAGCATTGCGCTGCTTAGCAAACCGCTGGCACACAATCACGCATCTGACACATGACTGGATCTTGATAACAGCATGCAATGAAGAGCTATACCTCTGCCGAGCCTGACTACGGCGTACATGCGACTGGAGAACGATAGCTGCTTGCCGTGAGCGTTGGTACACACTTTTCTGTTGCCACATGCGGACGGAGCTTTGCAGGCAAACTGCTGCAGCCTGCTGCCGCGAGAAGCGATTGCAAGCGATAACACAGCGAACACATGCTTGCATCTTCACAATGGCTCTTCGGGTTCGGCTGAAGCTGAGCTGCTTCTGGACTCGTCGGACATGGCTCTGCAGTACAATTGCAGCCTGCTGGACTTGCCGATAGCGATTTCTGCACAGCATCATGCGGACAGCACTTTGCAGGAAAATAGCAGCATCACGTTGTTTTGTCAATCGACTGCGAGCAATGACACAGCGGACACATGCCTGCATCTTCACGACAGCCTGGCAAGTTTGTTTGAAGTGCTGTTGCGCCTGGGAACGGCGAATGTGCGCTTGAAGGATGATAGCTGCTTGGCGAGCCTGATGATAGCGCACCCTGCACTGCCACATACGAACAGCACTCTGCAGACACACAGCGGCGTGCCGTTGCCTTGCCAGTCTCTGAGAGGCAATGATGCATCGTACACACGCCTGCATCTTGACCACTGCCTGGCGAGCCACTTGGAAACTGCGTTGCGCTAGAACACAGCGTGTGTGCGCTTGTAGCGTGATCACAGCGCTTCTCGTCTGTTGGTAAGAGGTTCTGCACTGCCACATTCGTACGGCGGACTGCAATGTGATTGTAGCGCCACGGCACACATGATATTCTTGCATGGCAGCTGTCATAGCTCGTGAAGCACGGTATCTCCTCTGCATGCAAACAACATTCTCACGATACCGCTGGAAAGCAGTCTGAGCAGTATACCGTCGCCAATTGCGCTGAATAATGCCCGCAGCATTCTGCTGTTGAAGGACACTGCGACGGACCTGCATGCCACGCCAATGGCGCTGAATACAAGTGCTTGCATCGTGCATGGTCTGTATTGCACGTCTCTGAACGACTCCACGCCAAGTTGCCTGGAGAAGAACACAGGCACGGCGAGCACGCAGATAGTGACGCTTGTGCTGCCACATGCGAATACTCGCCTGCAGGACAATAGCAGCTGAGCGGAGAGCGCTGTACTCTTTCACGGCAGCCTTTGACGCAACGCTGGCCCGGTATATTCTCTGCATCGCTACGACATGATGGCGTTGCTGAAGGAAGCTCCGTCGAACACGGAAACTCTGCCAGGCTCTCTGCAGAGAGCATGCTGCTTTGTGCTGAGCTTGTAACTGGTGCCGGGCACTTGTTCCACGCCAGTGGCGCTGGATTGTTATGGCCGATGCTCGGGATTTTTGGTACAGCCTCTGTGCCAGGACACAGCGCCAGAAAGCCTGGATGGTAATAATGGCACCACGCATCACATTGTAATCCAGCCACACACTGTGGCCAATACGACGTGCTCTCCATCTGCGTTGGAAAACACACGCTGCCGCCCTTTGCTGCTTGAACAGCTTTCTGACAAGGAAGCCACGGATGGTGCTTTGCAGCTTGATGGCTGCCATGCGCTGCTTTGCAAACCTCCGGCATGCAATTATGCAGCGAACGACCGCTTGTACCTTGAGAACGGCTTGGCGGGCCTGGTCATAGCTTCTTTGTGCTTGAACTCGACGGACATGGGACTGGATGACGACGGCCGCTTGCCGGAGTTGTGTGTAGCGTCGCCTATGCATGAACATACGAGCAGCAGACTGGAGGGTGATCACAGCACCACGGCAGACATGATAATCTCGGACAGCAATGGCAGTGGCCCGTGATGAACGATAGCGTCGTTGGAGGCAAACTGTTGCCGAGCGTAGCTTCGTGTAGCGACGGCGAGCAAGGTAGGTAAGACAGTGCGACTGGAGCACAAGAGCAGCTGAGCGCTCTCGTTGGTACTTGCGTTGCACCTGCAGCCTTCTCCAATGGGACTGTAACAGGAGTGTTGCTTGCTGCAATTTGAGGTAGACCTGGCGGTCCTTGTAGACATACTTTGCTCTCACAGCTGCCTGCAATCGCATCACAAGTTGACGCTGACGCAGGTATTGCTCACGTACACGCTTGCCACGCACTCGCCTCTGCACAGTGATGGCTGCCTGCCTAAGGCACTGGAAGCGCTCCTGTTCCGCGGCCAGCAGTGCACTGGCTTTCTTGAGGCCCAGATATCGCCTCCACGCTGTTTGAATGGTGCGCGCTGCTCGCGTTTCTTCTCTCAGGTCCAGGAGACGTTCGCAGATATAGGAGACAAAGGTTACCACCACCTGTAGGGATATCAATAAGCAACACAGAAGAAGTTTGTGTTAGTCAATCTGAAGTTCTGAACAAATACCTCCTTGACAATAGAACACCGTTGACAAAACCGAATTGCAGAAGGTCCCGTCTCAAATTCAACGGTGATATATTACTCGGGACCAAATTTGTGAAAAGAGTGGTCTCGTACAAGGCAGATGGACTTGAAGAAGAAATACGTATTACAAGGCGAGCCACTGACCTTTTCATCTGGAATGGTATTAGACATGTCAGCAGTGGAAAGCTGCAGAGGTGTTCCTCCAAGGCTCAATGTCTGCACAGGAAGGCAAACAGCATAAACAACACAACAGAGGTTTTGGGTAGACATCGATCAGCTGACAGGATCGTGGCACTTCAACAGAATCAAGCGGAATACCAAAGCATCGATAAAACTTGTTACCGCCATTTCCATCCAGGTCTATTCATTCAAAGACTTCAGGAGATCCATGCAAGCAGTTCTAACTCATCATATTCACAAAGTCTCAGATAACTTACAGCATCAGCCAACAGCTTGAAGTTGCGTTTCTCGTTGCTCAGCAGTTCCTGCCCATCATCCAGAGCGGCTACAAACAGTTCGATTGAGGATAAGCAAAAATAACGAGTAAAAAGAGTAAAAGCAGTGTCACAGAATGCAATGTAGACTTGAATCGTCCATGCTCCATGGAACAGTTGAATTTACAACAGAACCGTGGCAAGTACAGGCGGTGCCAGTAATCAATTCTAGTGCTTCCGGGGATACACCCTGCCACTTACACATAACTTCCCCCCAATCCCATCAGAACTCCACTTATGCACATGTACCAGAAGTGAGATGCCACCGGAAAAAGAAAACCCAGGGTTACCTCCAAGAATTTGACATTAGCAGAACCGTTTCATGTGAAGGAGAACAGCGCTCAAAGGCTAAACAGCAACTATAGTTGATGATATAGCAGGGTGGTGACTATAGCGCAAGGAAGGAGAGCCAAAGCGACAACGTCAAATGCGTAACCCATACACCTAGGGAGTAATGGGGAAAGGGTGCAAGTGTGAGTAAACCCAAAAAAGCGTGAAGTGCGGTGCAACAAAACAGACAACAATTACGTTCTATGTGCATGGGTCGCGCATTTGACACTGCTGTTTTGGCTCTTCTTCCTTGTGGTGACTATAGTCGATGATATAGCAGGGCGGTAGCACTGGGATTTCAGGTGGTCTGGCCAAATGGGATACCAGACCAGAAATGAACATTATTGAACATTGAAAGAAAAGCTTACACAAAGTAACTGTTTCATCGTCAAGGTCACAGCCGTCGTCAGCATCAGCTTCCGTGCCACCATAGCAGTCAACGTCGCTATTCTGGCAGGTCAATGTAGTCCTCTGCTGGATCTCAGTGCCAGGCAGTAGCCAGGGCTGGTAGTGGTGGATCAGGTAGCATAGCGCCCTACCATCCGAGAAGGATGTGGTGAAGTTGTTGACCTAGCATCAAGAATTGGAACAAACACACACATGCACACTAAACTAACACCATAAGACTGCTCCGGTCTGAACAAGTGGAAGCCTAAACTAGTCAAACATTTAATACATTTGATGAAAAGCATGATGTGCAAACGCCAATGCAGCATCATATATAGCAAAGAAATCGTGGTTACATCACACCTAGCGAAATGGCGGTAAATACACGCCTGCCCACACAACGCTCCCTGAGCTGTGTGGGCAGGCGTGTATTACCGCCATTTGAAAATAACATGGAGTAAAGGCATAGCACTGACCTCCACTTTGTACAGAGAGCAGACAAGCTGGCACCAGTCGAAAACCATCTTCACATGCTCATTGGGGAAAGTCATGCCAGTATTGGCATCGCACGGTATCGTGTCGCAGTGAGATTTCAGTCGCTTGAGCACCTTCAGATGGCTAATCTCTGCTTCAAGCGACTCTTTGTTCAGCAGCACAGTAACCTGAGCAGGATGGATAAAGCACAGATGTAATTGATCACTCCACCAAATAGATGCATACGGTCGAGGGAGTTGAGACCGAACCCTATCGAATGTAACAGTTATTTACAAAGTTTGGTAAAAAAAATGACAAACACAAACCAGAATGAAAGACACCGAGTTGCACACCCACTAGCATCTGCTCGTGTACATGCACGGTAACATTATGGTAGAACACTACTCCTGTACACCGTGGAAGCATACCTTGAAGTTGACAATGACATGCCAGAGAAGTGCCAGAGTTCTCTCACGGTGACCATCCACAATGTCACGAGATGTGATGGCATTGCCGCGCTCATCTTTCAGCTCAACATTGTGCCGTTTCAGGGACTGCAGACAAACATCCATGTTGTGAATTTTCTGAGCACAAAAAACACACGTACACACAAGCAGAACACAATCAAAGACCATGCTTCTATTACAGTGCACTGGTTCTGACAAATGTTTCCCATCTCAGACATGCTGGCATGTATGCAGTCAAATTAAGAGAGCTGTGCTTTTTCTAGTATGGACGTAGCATTGTACAGCCAATACTGTCACATAGTTATGCGTATCAGCAATTAGCTACCACACGGACCGACTAACCTGCAGGCGCGACTGAGCAGGCACCCTGAGTTTGGATGTCAGCGTCCATTCCTGAGTTAGGAGCTCCACTAGCCGGCTGAAACACAAGAAATACATACCATTTCAGTCTACGCGGGAGCAGTCAAGTTCTAAGGCAAGGAGTACAGGTTTAAGACATCAGTAAAGTCTCTATCAAAAGAAAACACCAGTTGTTTCACCAAAGAAATTATATACACCTGCAAGAGTACAATACAGTGAGAAAACCCAGATACCACCATACTGCATGTGCACTGTAAAGTACCTGCCACAAGGCAGTTCATGTCAGAGCAGCAGCAGTGGTGTCCTGGGGCATTTCACTGATGCATTGGGTTGATAATACCTGTACCATAGTCATGACTTGTACGGAAGTATGATTTGAATGATTTGAACAAAAGCACACCAACTTGGAGAGTATGTTGACACAATCATAAGCATGCCTGTGTACATTGGCTATGCATTATAATATAAATAAAATTTCAGCTTGAATAAAAGCCTGGTATGGAGAAAAGCGTCGCATAAACACAAGCTCTATGCGACCATAAGCATTGTTTACAAGAGACTTCCAGCAGTCGTGGAACCAAACATGTGGTCATGAGTTTCAATTATGAACAAAGCCAATCAATGCTGCTGTCTGCTTACGTCAGCTTGACTCCATCGCGGAGATCTGTTGCCAGGTTGGCGACAGTGTAATCCACCTCCTGCAGAGCAGTCTGTTGATGAGACACGGCATAGCCTTTGTAGCTGAGATGCCGAGTTAGATCACCGACTCCACGCAGGAATTCTCTGGCAAACGACAGAAGCACCTCTCTGCTGTTCTGTGAATGATAACCAAACACCAACCAAGCATAACAAAAGTGAAAGCAACATTAAATCCCTGGCATCCACTGAGCTGCTAAAAGCAGGACCCTGCTGCTGTGACTGAGGCTGGCTAAGATACTCTGACTTGGCTAAAGAACACCAGTGGGACCTATACGAACTCTGCAATGGATGCACACAATGAGAGTCAGAACATAGGCATCAAGATTGCGACTCGATGAGTACCTACCTTGATTGAAGCCGTCTTCACAAATAAGCACGGGTCATGATCGATGAGGCGGGTCAGCTTGGCATGATCCAGGAATAAGACGAGAAACAAGAACTTCTTGGCAGTGAATTTACCCAGTTCTTCGACATACCCTACGATAATGCAGACAGCAAAAGAGACAACTTTTAAAGAGAAATTCCAGTGAAAAGTAAAAGAATTCAGGGCCCATGAAATTCGACCTGAGCCGCTGAGTATACGCATTTTGCTTCATTCTGGTGATCACAGCATAGTGTGCAAACAGATAACTGCAGTCATTTTGAGTGCAAAACAGTCAATTTCGGAGACTGTCCAATAGGGAAACTGTTTGTCACAGCCTCTCTGAACAAAGACCATTCAAATCAATGTCCAGAAGACTACAATACCTGAGTTTTCATTCATGCCATACTTCAGGTTGCACTGCTGCATTCAGGTCTGGGCTTTTCACATACTTTATGTGCATGTCTTGTCATCAGCGCACCACACAGTATAGCCGTTTGTGTACTTCAAAAGTACAATGAATTCTGATAGGTAATGAATACTATGCGATGCACTCCTTGCACCTACATATCTACAACTCGTATCATAATCTTGTGAGCACTGAGTCGAATAGCCGTGGTCCAAAGACGCTGCGATACACTGTTCCCCAATCAAATGGGTTCCAAAATCGGCTATTTTGCACTCAACAACATGACTGTGTGGCTATGTGGCTGCATGCAGTGAATGCAGTACAATTGGGATTGTTTGCAGTTGTGACTAGTACAATCACAGCCTCCTCAGACCAAGACTACTTAGACTCGGCACCCAAAACAGAAACGAAGTAATTTTACATTTTCGTCGGCTAGAAGAGATCATAGTCGAGCATTCCATCTCATGACTACTGGCTTTGGTACATGGAAGGACCAAAATCAGTCCTGCTATGACCATTACCTGGCTGATAGAGTTCGGGCACCGATGGGTGAGCGTACTGCTTTGCCAGGTCAACATTGTTGAGCATGCGCTGCTGAATGAAGCGCTCCAGTCCAGCCGCATCACTATTAGACCGAAGCGGAATCACCTCACCATAGATGACCTGATGAGTCAGTGGATAAGAATACGCGACAACAACGACGATGACAACGACGACGACGACGACAACAACAACAACAACAACAACAACAACAACAACAACAACAGACAACAGACAGCACACCTGTCAGTGTTCCGATACTGTGGAATTTCTAGCAGCGCTATCAGCTTCAATCGAGAGCCCGATTGGATGATTTTGCAAGCCGTAACACTATGTGAATCTTCTACTACGATCTTGCCGAAACACTGTGTATTGAGCAGGGAGTGGTGCTTTCTTTCAGGTTTGCCGAGCGGAAGGTGTGACGTGCTCCTCGTGTGCTCCGGATGGCAGTCGTGAGTCAGTCAAGTGTCAAGTTCGGCAAGAAGCGTGTGCTCCTCGTTGGACCAACCAACTTTCTACTACGATGTTGTGAATATTCAATAAGCAGTACGGTAGCAAGATACAGTTACTGTACACTGATACCAACATGATCAATATGCATAAACCCACAGCCGATGTGTATGCAGAGATGGGTCGATCACTTTAGGACACCAGCGACCTCCCCGCTGAAAATCCTTGGTGTACAGGCACCAACAAAAAGTGGTTGGCAAACTCAAGGATGACCTTGGTGGAAAATCTGTTGAAATTGTCGGTCTAAGGTCCCAGATTTATTTATTTACTGTAAATATACAAAATTTCGGCGCTGCAAAATTTCGGCACTTCACGATTTTTGACATTTCGGCGGCGATTTATTTTCGGCGTGGGGTAGAGGGCATGGTATAGTGCAACAGATGCTGTGAAAAATTTCATCGGCGTTTTAATTTAGGCGTTTTGGGTCGGTGCCGAATATAGCCGAAATTAAATAGCTGCCGAAAATTTGTATATTTACAGTATTCAACATCTCCTGGCTCGTTGTAACACTGCCCATAAGATGGATTCCTACATTGGTAAAGAAGCAGCCAAACGGACCAAGGGTGTGCTGCAAAAGACCATCATCCACAAGCAGTATGCGGATGCGCTCATCGACCACCGCATGTCTACAGGACCTATGACAGGCTTCCAATCCCATAAGCACACAATGTTTGGAGAGGTCGCCACGAATATGGTACTATCTCCATTTGACTGCAAGCAGTAAATACCGGATGATGGTATTTCAACACTTGCATTTGGACACAAGGACGTGTATACATGGTGTGGTCACAGTACATACCTCCAGTGCAATACGGAGCCACAGTGGGTTGTATGACATCAACATTGACAGGAAACGCTTCCGTTGACCTGTGGAGAATGAACCAAAATCAGATCCAACCAGAAGGCAGAATTGGCTGTTAGTTACTTACAACTGTCGACTGCTGACTTCTACTCTTGAATCAAAATATACATGCAGAAAAAGAAGCCAAGGCTGCCGTGCATGAAGAAGACAACAACGACAACACAGTTGGACCACTGTCTTGCATGCAGAATACGGCAGGAATGGTATCAACAAGAGAGCTGAACAAACTCACCGAAATCAGCATTGAGGTGACGGTCAGTCCGCAATGCAAGCCGACCACACTCCACCTCGCGCTCAACACGGTGAAAGACGTCCACCAGCGGCTGAGACTGGAACATGATACAGCCGGCGCGGCGCAGTCTGGCCATGTGTCGCCGAAGCAGGTGGTTGTGCAAAGTGGCCTTCCTTTGAGCAAGCTCCGACTTGGCCTTCTTGCTAGCATTGCTGAGAGACACGCTACCTGCATCAACTGCAGTCCACAAAAAGTAGAAGCAGACAGGCACAAATCAATAAAATATTGGCAAGAAGGATGACAACGACAACGACAACGACAACGACAACAACAACAACAACAACAACAACAACAACAACAACAACAACAACAACAACAACAACAACAACAACAACAACAACAACAACAACAACAACAACATTGTCTCATATTTGACCCCAGGCAAACATGAGAATAAAAGGTCCAGATAACATCAATAGTATCAGCAACAGTATCAGAGTGAATGACTGACTATATTCCGTACCTTCAAGTGATTCAGGCCACAACAATAATAGTTTTCACCAACTATAATTATATTGTCAGTCCTGTGAATGAGCTTTCAGCGGATGTCAACGTGAAGCTCTTATTCTGGAGGTAGGGTGAACCCTTAAGATAAGGAAACCTTACCTGGTGTGTCACTTGTTGGGGCAGTTGACCATTCATCATGTGGTGAAAGAAGATTGTTCAGCCATGGTACAAATGCTGCACAGCATTCATATACCAGTATAACTTGTTAGAACATAAAAAACAGTTTTAAGACTAGGGGATGGAAAGAGAGCAACGAGGATGGGGTTCATATGAGAGAGTCCGTGCAGAACCAGTAAGGCTGTAAAGTGTGTGGGCACAGCTCTTAGCAATGGTACCGGAAACTTCCAGTCAGTCACCACGTTGTCATGGTTTGTCCTATTACAAAGAACTCTTATCTATTCCTGGAAACCTATGCAAAAGATCGCATGTTTTGGAGTACAGTTCACCTGACACCATGCAAAACACTTCAATCTACCATAATATGCCAAGTGCAGACAATGCTATTTGCATGGCAGCATCCATACTACATGTATTTGAATAATCCAACTTGAAAACAACTTACCTCGTTCTTGCTTTTCCGCCCATCGCTCATCATAGTACATGTTGCGGGCAGCATAAGGCAAAGGGTGGTGGACTTTGGGTGTCTTCTTCTGGCTCTTTGTCTTGACAAATGTCAATTGTTGGCGAGACGCAATGCCAGCCATCGCACGCTTCTGTGGCATTGCGCTGACTGCAGAAAAACAGCACAAGATACTGCCAATTAATACTTGTAGTGTGATGCAGATAATGTATTGCAGAACCAGGCACTAGCATCACCACAAACACACATAGTCAAACTGATACTAGTATAATTCTAGCCTTTCTCTGTCACGTTGTTCACACAACTACAGTATTGGGCAAGGGGTTTATGCACATGGGTATTAGCACCGTAATTTCTAGTATTGATACTCATTGTCGAGTTTAACATGAACAATCATTGGCACCAGTAGAGGTGGTAAGTCACATGGCTGGAAGCGTGAATAGCATACCGCTTGGTATACTATCAACACAAAGCATCAAACGACTGGGACATCAGATCTAGAATAGAACATGGAAAACGTTCGGGCAGAGGAACAAATGAAGCGTACCTGGTTTTCTCTTCGTACTGTCCACGTTCTTAACTAATTTGCGCAGGGGAGGACGAGCAGATGACCCTGTTGTACAGCCAGTGTCTATAGTGAACGTCTCTCTTCTCAATGACGACTTCTTGCCGCTGGCTGCGGCATTTTCGCAGCCATTGCCATCAAGTTCGACAAACAAAAATCCACCATGCTTTCGTTCCTGCTCTTTGGAAATTGGACTGAGGGACAAAAACTCCTGTGTTAGGTCAGAAGGATGTTCCTCCATGGTGATGGTAGGATCTACTAGTACTTTAGTATTTCAACATTCCTGCAGTAGGGGTTTCTCAAACCTAGGAAAAACAACCATGGAATGTAGGCTTCCCTCAACTATTGAACTACAACTCAAAAGTTATCGCAAGGGCACAATCACCTGTTCAAATGCTCACTTCGTGCTTTCGAACTTTTTTGAATTTTCGAGTTTTTCAGTTTATCCAATGATGGCGCAGTTGGTGTCAAGGAAACCAAGTATATCGGGTCGGTCCGTTGTGCACGTGTCGTCCCGTGCACGTTCTACACACGTTTTGTGTTTCAAAAAAGTGAAGATGTTTTTTTGTCCAGTTCAATCGATTTCCACTTTTGACTTCAGTCTTCAGCCCTCATAGTCATAATCAGTCCTTACGTCCCATGAACTAAACGCTTATGTGGTGTTTTCGGCAACACTGCGGACCCAGTTTCTACTTCTTTTGAACCAGAACCAGAGAACACAACATGGCGAGCAATGAAGGAGATCCGTGTTGGTGCTCCTTGTGTTCAATTCGTGTTCCTGGAGGTAAAAATTTACAAAACGTTAGGCATCACTTTCTGGTGTGAATACTAGTAGATCAAGAACATATTATTGATAAATAGGTTTACAAATTGGTTATGCAGACAGCATGGGACCGGTCCTGTTAGGATGCGTGTAGAATTCGGACGATCGGAACGTTTAAAATGATATTGATAACATCGTTTCCCACTGATTTGCAATTTGCAAGATAATTGTGACTTCAAGGTATCAGTGCTTTCATGTATGATTAAACTGGTATTAATGTTGCGTGCACAATTTCACAAGTACAGTCCTGCTCAATGAAATCCAGTCGCGTCACTCAAGTTTGCGCCTTGTACCATTTCACAGCCCAGTGTTCGCAGGTCTAGGACTGCGCAATCAGCGGCCCGGCGCGTACTTGAGTGACGCGACTGGACTTCATTGAGCAGCACTGTAGTTGAGAAAAAACAGTGAGATATCCAGCGGACGTCATACGATGCTGATCATGTCAACTCGTTTGTTATTTCTGTCGGACTTCTAGCACATGAAATGTCCAAGCATGTGGAGGGGAAGAAGCACGTACGCATGATGGCTTCCAGTGAGGCTAGACTGAGGCATGAGAAACAGAGTGTGTTTGTTCGCAACTTCCCAGCCGGCACTGATGAGAAGCAGCTTGGGGCAGTCTTCGCGGCAATGGGACACGTTGAGAAGATCATATTCGACAAAAACTCCGTAAGTCAAAAGCCTCAGAAAGTGAAACATTTGCATCTAGTAGTTATTGTCCAATGCTGCTGAAAATCGGTTCTACAGAAAACGAAGGCATGAAAGAACATCTTCTCATATTCAGTAATCCAGAATAATACTTCACGCTCTTTACTGGAGTCTTCTTTCTTCTGTGTGTGTGTGTGTTCTTGATAACAAAGGATGCTCCCAAGTTTGCGATTGTCGAGTTTTCAAGTGAGCAAGCTGTTGAGAAGGTCCTTGGTCATCCAGAGCCGTTCCTGCTGAAGGAGCGTCGGCTTGTTGTCAAAGCGCGTAATTCAAAGACGGCAGAAAAGTCAACCCCCAAGAAAGCGCCTGACACAGCACCCAGCAGGGCAAAGGCAGATGCTTCAAAGACAAAGGCTGAGAAGATGGATGATGGTGGGCCATCATCTAGTGCCACTGAAGAGTCACTGGATCCTGCCATACAGCAGTTAAATGCAGCACCATCTGTAAGTTTAAAGAGGTTGTGTCAGCAGTGTCAGCAAAGTAATGGGGAATCTTATTGGAACAAAGAATCAAGTTTACTTCTACATGTATATAGTAATTAGTTGTTCATCTCTGTCTGGGCAAGTTCCCTGTGCCGACCCACTGGCAGGTTGTGTTGGTAATGTCTGTGTTGGCTCAGGGGCGTACACCGCTCGCCTCCAGGAGTGGTTCCCATGACAACTGATCAACCAACATTCCACACAATTGCTAGTGCTCGTATACGCATCCGACAGAGTTTCTGCATAAACTGCTGGATAATGTCACTGCTACTCATTTTTGATTTAAAAGACTGAACTTTGCCAAGGCATTTTTATGGATGTTTTGTTCAGTGGGACGATTTCATGCAGTCTTGAGTCGGGTTATATTCTCGAGAGGACTGCGGTAAAGCTGCCCAAGCTTCGAATCATCTGGAGTAAACATCACACAGGGCAAGCAGAAGCCACCATGGCACGCCGGTCAAAAGACTACCCAGGGAAACTCCTCCAACCCGGCAGGATAGTTGAAAGCGGCGCTGTTTGCCATCCGTCTGGACACGCACAGGAAACGAAATCCTTCGCCTTCAGTGGCACACAATGATTGTCGATGACGGAAATCTTTTCCATGTCCGGCAAATTTCGGGGGAATCAGGGATTTCGGGGGAATCAGGGATTCCACTGTGGAAGTACACTTTCAGAATATCCTTTCCAACACACTCCAATGTCACTAAAGTGAGTCTTGGATGATCCAGCAGCTTCCAACAATGGTCGCTCTACAGCTTCGCCGACGATTCCGTCCTCTGTGCTGCTCGTTGCAGACTCCACTTGCAAGTCAGGTGCGTCCGCAACCTCATCTATCGCTTGACCTTCGTCACTGGCTACACGCTTTGCCTCCTGCTCAAAAAAGCTCTGAATAGAGCGCTGGCCCTCTGGATGCCGGCGCTTCATTTTTCTTTTCCACAAAGCGAAAGCATCGTCAAAAACGTAACCAACTAACGTTACTTTGTCAAAACAAACTGCAAAGGAAATGACTCTGAGATCGAGGAATCGATGTAACTCGTAGGTCTATATGGTCCATGTAGAGACTTTTTTGCACCCAGTAAGTAACTAACTTAGTTCAGTAGATCTACGCTGTGTCACGAAAATGCCCCAGCAGCACTTTTACATCTGGCCTACATTTCACCGTCCTCTGACCGTCAGGCGGACTGCAGGCGCCTAGGCATACATGCACTGCATGCACGCTGGCCAGGATCAACACATTCTCCGTAGATCTACCTACATCGAAATAAATTAATGTTTTACTGGTTCCCGGGCATCCCGGGAACCGCCCTATGTACGCCCCTGTGGCTTAACCTTTTGTCGCTGAGTCCGTGTCTCAATGGGGGTTACCATTTCAATTAAATCAGAATGCTTTCGCTTCTTGATGGAGATGGTTGGGATGTTAGTTTGTTTGATGCACCATGCACAATGCACCATGCACAATGCACCATGCACAATGCACCATGCACAATGCACCATGCACAATGCACCATGCACAATGCACCATGCACAATGCACCATGCACAATGCACCATGCACAATGCACCATGCACAATGCACCATGCACAATGCACCATGCACCATGCACAATGCACCATGCACAATGCACCATGCACCATGCACCATGCACAATGCACCATGCACAATGCACCATGCACCATGCACAATGCACAATGCACCATGCACAATGCACCATGCACAATGCACAATGCACCATGCACCATGCACAATGCACCATGCACAATGCACCATGCACAATGCACCATGCACAATGCACCATGCACAATGCACCATGCACAATGCACCATGCACAATGCACCATGCACAATGCACCATGCACAATGCACCATGCACAATGCACCATGCACAATGCACCATGCACAATGCACCATGCACAATGCACCATGCACAATGCACCATGCACAATGCACCATGCACAATGCACCATGCACAATGCACCATGCACAATGCACCATGCACAATGCACCATGCACAATGCACCATGCACCATGCACAATGCACCATGCACAATGCACCATGCACCATGCACAATGCACCATGCACAATGCACCATGCACAATGCACCATGCACCATGCACAATGCACAATGCACCATGCACAATGCACCATGCACCATGCACCATGCACAATGCACCATGCACAATGCACCATGCACAATGCACCATGCACAATGCACCATGCACAATGCACCATGCACAATGCACCATGCACAATGCACCATGCACAATGCACCATGCACAATGCACCATGCACAATGCACCATGCACAATGCACCATGCACAATGCACCATGCACAATGCACCATGCACAATGCACCATGCACAATGCACCATGCACAATGCACCATGCACAATGCACCATGCACAATGCACAATGCACCATGCACAATGCACCATGCACAATGCACCATGCACAATGCACCATGCACAATGCACCATGCACCATGCACCATGCACAATGCACCATGCACAATGCACCATGCACAATGCACCATGCACAATGCACCATGCACAATTCTACCTTTGGTGCTTAAGTTACACGTGCACATCATCACGATTCTGTGGTGTACATTGTACTCTCTATTTATCAGATGGAGGAGCAGTTCCGGTGTCTTGTGAACTTGCAATCACCCAACGATGATGACATGCGGAAACGGCAAGAGTTGGCTGGGAAAGTCAGAGATGCCTTGCAGACGCATGCGTATGCGTCGAATAGCGATGTCGCCGTGCAGCTGTATGGCTCAGCAACCTCGGGGTTTGGCCTGAGAAGCAGTGATGTAGACATGACACTCGTCACAGCTGGCTCAGCGCCGGAACAAGAGAAGGTCGCGGAGGTGACCATGCTGGATGAGCTGGACAAGGCAAAGGTACAGTGCGCTGTACGTTAGGAATCCATCCCCTTACAATACAATGTGCACAAGTGCATGTGTGGATATGTGTGCTGTTCATTGTGTAGTGTACTTTAGATGTAACTTTTTCCAAGGCTATACGAGTATGTGTATCTTTGGCTGAGTGGCTCCTTTGTAGCTTGCTTGAGCCTAACAGCCAGCTTCATTGCATTCTTTTATCTATTCTAATGACTCGCGAGGATCTGTAGTGGCTTTTTTTGCAACATGCATCCTAGTCAATAGCAGTAGTATCACTATGCATATGTTCTACTCAGTACTTGAAGTACATGTATAGGATATTGCAGTTCAGCACGATCATTTCACTACACATCGTTAATATTGGGTACTGTGCAGGACTACTTCCTTGGAAAGTAAGTTAGTATGCATGCAGTTGTTATGATTGGATATGGTTGTTATTCAACAGTGAGTGTTGAATTCATTTTGCGTTTTCTGTACCTTGTTCAGCTATCTTCCACGGACTCCAGTTTCTCATCTTTGGCAGACTCTTCAGCTGTTAGTCACGCAAGCCTGCAAACACTGGGGCAGAGCTCTGCTGATGAGGTGGCTGCGGCTGACAAGGTGAAGGAGCAACTTGAAGCCATCGCTTCTGTTATACGCCATCATGTCGCCGGGTGTGGTCGAGTCTTCACCATTCCCAAAGCGCGTCGACCTGTCGTCCGCTTTTACAATTCCGACCTGAAGCTCCAGTGCGACCTGACTTTAAATAATAAGTAAGTGGTGAGCTTCTGCCATGGAGCAGATATACTCACGTGTGTGTCACTTGTCTCTGTGCCACTTGTCTATGTGTTTGTGTTTCCTTGTGTGGTTGTTCACAATGCTTTGGCTTTTCACGTGTGCTAGCTAGTCCAGTATGTACATGTATCATGACTGCTGTTTGTTTGTTTGTCTGCCCATTTATTATTTCTCTTTATTAGACTGGCAATAGAAAACTCCCGTCTCCTCCAGCAATACGCAAAGTCTGACCACCGTGTTCTGCCACTTGCACACGCTGTACGAGTCTGGGCTTGCAGCCATAGCCTGAGTGGGACTTCATCCTCGCTGCTATCCGGCTATAGCCTGGCACTGCTGGTCATTGCCTTTCTGCAACGAACCCAGCCACCCGTTCTACCATGTTTGCAGCAAGCACCCTCTACTGCAGGCCAGCCTGCAACTAGCAGACACACATTATCACCGTCCGTAATTGATGGTTGGCACTGCTCGGTATTTGACGGCCATCAGCCTGGGGTCAATTTCAGTTCTGTGGGTAAGTGAGATTTGCCGCATGTAGGCTGCCCTTGTGTGAATAATAGTAGTGCAAGAATTTGACCTTTTGCAAGTGCCGAGTGGTCTTATGTCCTGTGAATTGAGCCCTTTCCAGCAGTGTGGGCAAGATAGTAGACCAGTACTAGTACCTCAGATCATTGCGCTACAGATCTTCAACCCCATGCAGTATGCAGTGCATGAACTACAATCTTGTACATGTACGGTAGGAGATAGTGCCTGTGTGGATGTAGTACGCCATACTTGTAGTAATACATCTGACTGAATTAAATTCACGTGTGGTCCCGAATGGTGGATATAGTTGCTGTTCAACTGTATTTTAAATCAAGCGAAAGTCTAGCAGTTGTGCCAGTGATGGCTACTTTTGTGGCGGTAGGTTTCTCACACACCCCGTTTCTTCGCTTCTTGTTTACATTTACTGCTGTGTTTACAGACCAGCTTCTCCATGACTTCTTCGTGTACTACGGCTCGTTTGACTTTGAGACGAATGCGGTGGCCATTCATGTACCATCCACCGTGAGCATCAGCGATGTACTCCTGGTGTCGGCGCAGCGTGTTGATGACTATTCATCCTGCAATGGAGTTGCTGGCAACAATCACCTGGCTAGGCTGTCTGTATTCCGCCAGAGCTCCATGTGTATCCAAGATCCGTTTGAAGTTACGCACAATGTCAATGCCGGTGCTGGTCCACCATTGCTACGGCACTTTGTTGACCAGTGTCGTTCCACTGCGCTGCTGTGCCAAACTGACTGGCTCAAGCAGCCACATAGCAGTACCGCCGATGGTACCAGCAGTGACGGCAGCAGCTCAGAACAACCTGCTAGCAATTGGGGATTATCTCAGATCATTGCACCGCCTGCTGGCCCTGGAGTCAGATTTCTGTCGATTTCCCTCACTGCTGACCAGATATCTGCCCATCTTTCTAAAACCCAAAGCTCCACTAGCTCCACCACATCTGCACCTCCCGCGCACAGCAAAAAGCGTGTCCTCAACTCTATCTGTGATCTGATGGTAGTAGATTTTGGATTTAAGACCACGCTGCAGCAGGTGGAACTGGACGGTTGCAATGATGTTGATGATACGAGTGATTCAGAAGAGAATGAGAAAACCGAACAGTCTTCGGATGAAGACGACAATGCTGCCGGTGACTTTCGCAGCCTTCCTGGGAAAGTCAAGAAGTCTCTTGGTGGCGGTGCTGCAGCTAAGCGCACTCGCCACGCATCTGAGCAAGCAACTTCTGACGGCCTGGGACAGGCAAAGAACTGTGTTCAGGCTTATTGCGAAGCCAGAGAGAACACATGGCTTCATCGACGGCGATGGCGACGGGAAATGCAGCGACGTCGTGCAGCTGCTGACCGTGGAAATACTGCAGAGATCACTGATCAGCTGACGTCAGTGTCCACACCGCTTGTTCTGGCGTTCCAGTTGCACGTCTTGAAGGCGCGCTCTGCTGGATCTTGCATGTATTCCATAGTGTTCCAACCGACGGAAACGAAGTTCATGAACGAGCTTCATGTATTCGTGGCTGTCCTTCGGAAGGACTTGATTCAGAAAACCTCTGCGTAACACTATCAGCGTGTTCTTTGAATGATGAACCGTCTGTTCAGGGTCACTTATTTTCACGCAATCCTTGGGTGTATTGCGTTGGTCATTCCCATTCTGTCTGTTGATTTATGCTCGCTTTTTAACCCCTTTTCTATAGAATTTTTAGTTTCATGACTTCATTCTTTTACCATCTAGTCTTTGTAATGATGCTTGCTCCAGCACATCCTTTCCTTTGCTGTTGCGTAACACCATGGTCAACCCTCAGTGCACTAGTCAATCACCTCCTAACACCTGAGACTGAGTTGTGAACTCTTGCTGTCATTGTGTTACATCACCGTTGCCATGGCAACGGTCATATAATTTTTCGGGTTTTGACTTTTGAGTGATTTTTGAATATTTTCTAGACATTTTTCACATACAGTACTACCTTTTTTGGATTTGAATATTGATGCTCAAGAACAATATCTTGTATCTCAATACACAGTTTCTTGCGAATAATCTGGACGTACGTAGAATACTGAACTGCCCCACAGCAAATGCCATCCCAAACTATCTGCATGTGGACTGCATCCATGAACGCACGCACACACCACAGACAATAGCATAGCACCATCAGAGGACAGAATATTAGAGGAGGAGAGTGTTGACCTGCAACCATGACATGATGTCTCCAATATTGTGTTAGGACGCCAGCAACAGCAGAATATGAAACACACAGTTTAATGTATGAGGAACAAGCTTAAAAAAGTGGCATGGGGCTGGCCATACTTGTAGCTAAAAAATGTCACTGATCTCAAGGCAGCATTTCACTATATTGAACAAAACAAATTACTCACAATACTACTGAAAAAAAGGACACGTGAAAAACTGTTTATCACCTATCTCACATGCCTATGAATGATTTTGATAATGAATGGAAACTAGAGAAATACCCAGAAGCAGAAGGAGAAGAAAGAAGACTAGGATGGGGTCCAAGCAGCTCTCGCCTGTGACCCGATCAATACAAGAAGCTAGAGAGCTCCATAGTGGCAGTGAAACAGAAGGACAGCCAAACGGGAAAGAAGCTACTTAACTAGTCACAGTTAGTGCAGATACAGAAACACATGGATTCAATGGAAGAAACAGAGAGGAAGGTAAAACTCATTAACAAGTAAGCTGTACGGATAGCAGTATGTACATGGTTGAGTTCCATCAAAGTTGCACAAGATCTCCACAGGACAATGACAAGACAAAGGAATACAACTCACGTATGGTTATGTACTCGAAAGGAACAATAGGGGACATTTACTAGTAAGTCGAGCATGCTCAATCAACACTGAGGCTCTCCTCAGACGATTCTTCACTGCGATCCAAACCATTATCCATAGAAAGCGTGTGAAGAAAGGAGGGTGCCATCGATACAGGTGTAATCCCAGAGGCTGACACCGCAGACGCCATAGCTTCCATGGGCATGCCCAGAACAGGCGCAGCTGCATCAACTGACGCTGCCATGGCCATTGCAGCCGTTGCCGGGTCGGCTGATGCCAGAGAGGCAGCAGCTTCCATTTCTGAGCCAATAGCAATAGGCTGGCGTCCTTTGTTCATGTACAGCTCTACAGCATCAATAGAGCAGTGTGAGAATAAGGCACAAGTCAGGAGAGTGGCATGAACTTCTAAGTATGGGCCCAGAATATGTAATCAAACACACACATTGTCAACCAGGTCAATGAGATGCCGTGTTAGTACAGCACACGCTCGGACATATGAAGACCAAGCGCCGACCTGAAAAGCATGCACTTCCTCAAGCAGAGAACATTGATTGAAACTAAAACAATGGACCACTACAGACAAACACTTACCATCAATATACTGGACAAATCTCTTGGGCACAAGCTGCCTAGCTTTCGCCAGTTCTTCTTCCGTACACGTGCCATCCGCCAATCCCAAGCTCATGCGCATCATGTTCATAACATCAGCATCCGAGAGAATTTCGTATGGCTGGTCAAAGTCAAACGAGTATTCCGTTCTGCACACAAAGTCAGACAGGGCAACAAGCAATCTGTTAGAAAACAACAGCGCACATCTAGTTTCTTGATACAACATGCTATGAGATAAAAAGTACTATTTCTGAGGACTCCGCACAATACTGCACTTGTAAGAATGCACAACCCCCAAGAGTGTGTAACTCCAGCCAGGGGTCTGCACCAACAGGAGATCATGTCATGTGACAAACCGTACATCTTTTTTTGCATCCTGTGCATGATAGAAACAGGGTCGTACGCAACCCTGCTTTGGGTTCAACCAGGGAATTGTAAAGATCTGGGAGAAGACACGACACAGATTTCTGTGGACACGCCGTGCCTCGCCTCTTGCTCAAGCCCACATCCATGAATTTTCCCCCGCTGAGTACTTATCAGGGCATCAGAATTCACGATTTGACAGATCACAAGAAAACCATCTGGGAGTCGGCTTTCCATGACAATTTCTCTTAGAACTTTTGGTTAGTGCTAGGAAATCATCCTGTGGGGCGTTCTGACCACTCGGACCAAGCAAAACAGAAAACTACGAGATCGTGGATGCGATTGACAGTCGGTGACGGAATTCAGACCACCCCGCATTTCTTTGCGTGTGCTGCAACGTAGAGAACTTCATTTCTGCGTAGAAATCTGGACCCAAAACATGCGAAGCGGTAGACTCTGTAACCCAGACACATCTTCTCTACGTAACTTCTCTACATTTCACGTAGAGCAGAACCTCTCCGATACAGTAAAACCTATCAAGGCAGGGCCGTCGGAAGGTATTTTAGTTTAGTGGTACGGTCAGCCACCTGAAGTACAATTTACTCGTGGGGGAGGGGTGGTTGAGCCGAAAAATTTGGAAATTTAGAGCCCAGATCAGTGCATTTTATTGATTCACGGGGTATCTGGGGCAAAAAGTGGTACGGTCAATACCGTAGTGACCGTGCCGTGTGCGACGCCCCTGCAAGGCGACCACTTGGATAGGGCGACCACCTGTCCCAGAAGACCACCGTAGCCAGGACCAAGGTACGCTATTTCCAGTCAAGTGACCCTGGATAAGGAGACCACCTGGTGACAGAGACCTCATTTTGAAGATCCCTTGAGCGGTCGTCTTAGACAGGTTTCACTGTACATATATTTATAAAGCTATAAAAAGTATGAAAGTCGCAGACATCACCACGCAACAAAACACTTGTTCGAACTGTAGATGACTGTATTGTTTTCCAGAATCGATTTTCTCTCTCTAATATTACTGTAGACGTAGAGCAGAAAAACTTCCCGCAGTGCCTTGTGAAGTTGCTTGATGGAATTTTTAACAGCCACTGAACAGTCATGCACTGTAAGGGGGCATTATCGATAATTTCACGGAACGAAAAAAAGTTTAGTTATGACCCTCACCCACCCACCCCCGGAACGAAAAATGTATTGACTTGACAGCTAGAGTGGATTGATGTTTCAGTTATCAATACCTTTCAAAACAAAAGTACAAAACTCTCCCAAACCCACCCACAACAAACAATTTTTCGTCTTGGGTTAACCTTTTGAGCCCGGGCTCATTGAAAACCTCTGCTACGCAGTAAATTTTTTAATTCACTCTATGTGAGCAAATTTGATTTCAAACGATTCTTTCATGTATCCTGAGCACAGAACTGTTTTTGTTTTGGAAATACAGCAAAGATTACAAAAGTTATGACCGTTTTCAGAAAGGTAGTTATACGCGAATTTATATTTTGAAATGTATTCACGCGCATGTACCGTATTTCCACAAATAGTAGGCCGGTCTACTATTTTTTCAACCTCGTCCTAACCCGGCCTTATAATCGATGACGGTCTTGTATTCGAGGACGGTCTTTTATTCTTTCAACCCAGTTTGACCCCGGTCTTCTATTTCTCGCCACACAGTTTTTACCCCCCGTTCTTCCATTTTCTTCTACACAGTTTGAGCACGGTCTTCTATTTTTTCCCACAGTTTGAGCACGGTCTTCTATTTTTAACACAAGAACAAAGACTCATTTAGTAGGCCCGGTCTTCTAATCAGAGACGGTCTTTTATTTTTTCCATCGCCCCCTGCCCCGGCCTTTTATTTGCGGAAATACGGTAACTACAGTTCAAACTTACGGAGCGACTCGCATTTTTTACTGTACTCGTACATCCTAGGAGTCCTCTGTGCAGTGGTACAGCTCGACGCCACGCCACGGAAGAAGTGCGGAATCGATGTAGTTCCGTACTGACTCGTGGCGTTCTAGAACGTCACGCGTGTCACAGTGGCAGTGGTCATGACGTGTCAGAACGTCACGCGTGCTCAAAAGGTTAAAGATCGATAATTAATTCTGGACGGCTCCAAAAGGCAGCGCAGGCACACCCTTTTCCCTTTCTCTCACCTGTCATTGGAAATGGAGCACTCAATGACAGTGTTTTTACTCGTTTTCAGCAACAGGAAGGGTAATCGGACAGAAGAGTTTGGAGCAGGGGGTGATTCCTGAGGCATCGATTTGTTGCGCTCAACGAGCCGTGAAAACGCAATTTGCTGCAAGACAGGGAAGAATATAAAGAATTCAAAAAATGGGGACAATCAGAAAATCAACAAGAAACACGATGACGACAACGGCAACAGAATGGCGAGATATTCGGTTGGATACGCCCAAGTGAAAACTACGATTATAATGCACACACATGCAGGGTCACAAGCAGGATTTTTGCTAGCCAACCATGTACAGAATTCAGTGAAATTCAGTGCCGGACATAGGCAAACTATTGATTCGACAAGGAACCGCTGGTAAGCGCCTGCCATGGTGTGCACACAATTTCCTTATTCGGAGATGATGCTATGCTACCAGCACCCACTTATGGCACCAGTACAGGCAGCAGCCCCAGCACCAGTACAGGTAGTAGCCCCAACAAACAATGTAAGAGGTGTTCAACTGTACAGGTAGAGTATGGGGGTCTTGGTGCGCTATTTGGGATTTCAAACTAATTGCTGGCAGTCCAATGCAACTGTCAGGTAATCAGTTGGGCCGGTGCTGCCTCCCCCCCCCCCCCCCCCCCACCCACACCACACACACAGAGTGGAGCATTGTCAATGTTTCAGCCGATCCACCAGGAACATACTTGCAGTAAAACATCTTGTAGTTCACGCTTCTTCTTCGCAATCCTTTCTTCTGCTCTGCGCTTCTCTTCCTGGAAAAGAAGGAGCATTGAGTGGAGAAAGCAGAGTCACAAAGACCAGGGTGAAGCAATGCAGCAAATATGAAAGTATTCACATTCTGAAGTAAAGATAAATCGGACAAGCAGTTGTACCTGCATTGTACATGAATTTCTTAGCAGGCTGTGTGGTGCAGACTTGTACAGCCTCACAGACAGCCTAAGCGAGAAGGCAATCAAGCTGCTGTGAGGGAGACAAATAGTATTTTATAGGAACTCCACTTCAAAGGAGAAAGGGCAATGCCAACCAAAAGCTTAAAATACAAGTCAAACTGTACAAAATAGTGGTAGCGACCTCTGCGATAATTCTCCAAGGAAGTTGGTGGGGAGCAACCAACTTCCTTACAAGCCAAACTGATGAATAAATACGAAAGCAAAGCAAATACAAACGCTGGATTATCGTATTCTCCGGTGAATAAGCCCCCCCCCCCCCAATTTCTTGCCACAGAATTAATTAGATCATCGGAGTATAAGCCGCATCCCCATTATTTCGGGTGAAATTTGAGTGTTCAAAGTGCGGCTAATACTCGGAAAATATGGTAGATAAATACACAAAAAGAAAAGCTAAATACAACCCACCTACCTCAAGCTTGGCACATTCACTAGCAGAATTCGTCGGGAGGCCTATCCATCTGATCTCTTTCTTCTCTTTGGCAATAATGTGAATAGCCATTAGCACATTCAATGCATCGTACACTCTCCGGCGAATGTTCTTCTGGTCAAAGCCCTGCTGGAAAGGCACAGATCAGACAGAATGAACAATAAAACAAGTACTTGTAACAATGAATGCCCATGCCACCGTAGACAGACAATTAGGAGCATACCAGTACACCAACATCAGGTGACCAGTACGCAGGAGTTGTATAGTGCTGCTGAATGAAATCCGATCAAGTGAATCAATGCTGTGCCAGGTGCCGTGCAGCCTCAGACCTGCAGACATTGGACTGTGCCCTGGTGCAGCGTGCTAGCTCTTCATGGAGCGGAATGTATTGAGCCCAACTGTACAGGACTGATCCTTATCACTGTGAATGTTTGTTTTATATTAAAATGTATAAATCTCCCTCTTTGTGTGGAAGGCTCTGCCCTATATGGGTATTGAGCACTCTTCGGACAGTGGAGCACGCTACTGGATTACGTAAATGTATAAATAAGAAGAGCTTTCATTCAGAGCAAGAGTATGTAACCCCCAAGGGTGTGCAACTCCTTCACACAGTGCTGCCCCAGAAGAATTAAGCTAACGTAATTTTTATGACACAATGCTCCTCGCACGAGTAATTTACGACGTTTGTACTGGGCGCAAACCCATCACACATGTTTCTTTGCACTGATTTGTACACGATCAAATGGGGAGTCGTCCACCACAGGTCCAGGATACGCCTGATATTAAATACGGGTAGAATGCGCTTGCATCATAAAATTACATCAACTTGAAATTCTGTCGAAACAGCACTGATAGCGGAGAGTTGCACACTCTTGGGGGTTATGTACATGTACTCTTGTTCAGATCTAGAGCCATTCAAATACTGAAACTCAGATGTCAAAATTAATGTAAACGTGACAAGGGCACACTCGCATACCTGTTCACCAGTCAGTCCTTGTCTCTCTTCCTGAACTTCTTGGACAAGCTCATCGGCCACCTGTCAGACAGAAAACAAAAGAACGGAGCAAGAGTAGAAAGAAATCAGACAGGCGCACAGAGAAAAGGAGAGAAAAAATTTGATGACTTTTCCCGTTTGCATCGTTCCCTCAAACCAATGAAGAAATTGATGATGCAGAATTGTCTGTAATCTTCTGTACAGCCCCGGAAGCAAACTATTTTCTCTACACTAACAGTGATTGGGGAGACGTTCAGGAAACGAAAAATTTAATCACACACAGTAAAAATATTGCCGGTTTCAATACTCAGTTAACTAGAATAAATAAAAAAAATTCATACGCCTTTGTTGACCCAATCCGATCACCGGTGCACACATGGGAACGTAGCACAGAAAGTCAGAACAGTCCAATACAAACACACCTCAGCCATACGCACACCGACGTTACGGGCACTTCGGTCTACCAGGCACCCTTTGGCCGAGTTTTAGTAGAAACATCACCACTCTTTCGTCACTGTTCATGGAATTAGCGACGTCCTATGCCATATAATTATCTGGCGGTTCCCCATCAACAAGCAATTCAGAGTTCCGGACATTTCAAATTTACGGGCAGTGCCCAGTCCTGGATCGCCCGGGTAAACAACATATGAATGTACACCATATTTTCCGGAGTGTTACCCTTTTCAGGCCCAAAATTCATATTTACGTTAACATCCAGAGTATAAGCACGTAAGACTGTGAATTATTCGGCCAATCCGAACTTAATATTCCACGGCAACAAATATCAGATCAGACCAGTTTTTCAGGTGCCGGTACACTGTAGGTACAAGGCGTTACCAGTGGTTCAAAAGTTGAGAAAAACATGACTGACGTTTTACCAAACATTTCCTAGTTTGTCCTTTACTCAAAACTGACGTGCAATGATGGATTGCAATATTAGCAAAAGTAGATGAATGACACTATACATGCACGGAGCGCTGCAACGCTGGTTGATTCACATTCAGCGTTGGAAGTCTAAGTCGCAGCGGCGACTTTAGAGCTTTGTAAGATGTGTTTACTTTAAACACATAAGTGACAAGTGATGAAAATCACTTGACACCCTCAGTATGCAGGCAAACGCAACTACTTTCCCGTGATGGTGTGTATGCGCTATGCAGCCTGAAAGAAACAAGCTACTGTTTCTATGGTACAGACATGAGGACGAAAAACTACAAACTTGAAATCTGGGGAACTAGCCGGTTGGAATTTGACCACATTGGGACAAAAGTTTGCTCCCAACATCACAGGCACGTGCCAACGGAATGTGCTACCAACCCCACAGGAATTCTGCAGGCGCCGTTCACTGTAAATACTCCTGCTAAAATAAAGCGACATGATGCAATCACCAAGGTGATCGCTGGCATGGCATGCGAATCATGTCTTAAAAGACCTTTGTAGGTCGAATCAATCATACCAGTGAGCACCCACTGCACATGATCCATACACACACCTTGGTCCTTGGTAACACTGTCATTAAATGGTCACGTGTCCCCTGTGCAGGGGTCGACAGCACTGAGTTCAGCATTGGATCCAGAAACGCCGTTCTACTTCCTGGACAGGAAATTAGCACAGCTATGCAGGTCGAAACCACGGGATGACTTGCAGCAGCGACCACAGCCGAGACAATGCGCTCTGCAGCAGGGCAGGGCAACCCGCTGTTTCCGGACCGAGTCTGCCGATGCCACAGCCGAGACCGACGCCACTTCAGCAGCCGAGTTGGAGAGACACTTATGCGAAGCTAGCCCGCCAGCACTCAAGAACCATCTCCCGCACGCATTACATAGTCGGCTGCCGGACTGCTCAGATATGGGCTTCCTCCTCTCGGCCAGGCACTTGTGGCGATTCTTGTATTTCTGGTGGGCGAAAGTACGCTGGCAGACATCGCAGAGCACAGAAGTGTCACGCTGAGCCGATCGCGGTACTGGTTGAGCGGAATACGCACTGCGCCATTTCCCACGCTCCTGGGCGAGGTCGTACCATTCCGTGTGGTCGATGTTCACTGCGGAGAGGTCAGCTCTGACAGAGTCTCGCCACCGTTTCCGAGGACCGCAAGCCGGCCTCGGCGGAAGGAGCGCACCAAACAGGAGCTGGCGCGGAGTTCTATCGCCGTCCATCCTAGCTAGATGGCCTAGCCACTCCAGACGGCGGCGAAGAACACGTGTGGTAATATCCACTGGATCTCGACGATTCCAGGCCTCCAGAATGGTCTTCCTGTTGATGTGGAAGTCCCAGGTGTCTCTTCTACCGAGGGCTAAGATTGCGGAAATGCAGCGAAGATGGAAGGCGGACAGCGCCGCAAGCTCGCTTTTTAGTGGTACCCAACACTCCGCTCCGTAAAGGAGAAGATCTACGGAAGGCCTATGATTCCGTCACCCGTAAGTGCATGTGGGAAATTCTCCGGAAGGCGGGCGTACCTGACAAGCTGGTTACCATTATCAGCTCATTTCATACCTCTATGTCTGCAAACCTGTCGATCCCGGGCATCGAGGCCGAGCCTATTGAGGTGCAAAATGGCCTTCGACACACACACACACACACACACACACACACAGAGGTACCTACCTCATTGTACGTAGTTTTGCCTTTCTGACGGACCTTCTCACACACTTTCGTGCTAAATAGCTTCAGGCCCTTTTGCTTTTCTACTGTTTGACCTCTGCCACCAGAACCACCTCCTCGTCGACTACTGTAATAGCACACAATCAAATCAAATGACATACAGACACCACACAAACACACCCACTCTTGAATGAGCAACTTGAGGGGATTTGACAGTAAATTTTGGAAATACTGCCACCAAAGATTTCCTCTTTTTGGCTTAGATCCAAAAGCCGTATTGATAGCTCATTTATGCTACTGGCATGGACAACTTTATTATAAATACACGTCAGCGTGTGTAGCAGTAGTGTGCTGATTCATGGCATATCAACTTCAAGAACTCCGTTAACTCCATCCTCTGGATCAATGGATGAATTATGCCTCGAAGCAAGAGTACATAACCGCCAAGAGTGTGCAACTCCAGCTAGGGGGTCTGCGACGGCAGAACTTCACATCGCGCGACAAACACGTACACATTATTTGCACCCCATGCATGATGTGTACTCTTGATACAGGGTAATACGCTTTGGGTTCAACTCTCTTGTGGTCACTTTACACTGTTTGCCAGCGTAACCTTTTGAACAATGTCACGTGATTTGAAGTTCTGCTGTCACAGTCTCGCAGCATTGTATAGAAGTTGTGCAGCCAGTTACACACCCTTGGGGCTATGTTCTCTTGATCATAAGTTATTGTGATTGGGAAGTGTTGCCGCCAAATCAAAAGGTCACTGCACGTACAGCCTGCAGGACCTGTCGGCATGCATGCATGTAGATACTAAAAATGCGTACATGCGTATATCCTGTATTATGGCGCATGCATACAGCATGCACATGCTAGGTGTGTACAAGAACATGGACATGCGACGACGGAAAGGTGGTGGAATCGAGATCAAGAACTTGATGGCAGAAAAACAAAGTTAGCAACTGAGATCATGGTGATGCTGAGCAATTGAAATTGTCTCATCACCAACTGATCCACTTGATTTATTACCTGACAGCCGCGGCAGCCCTTGCAGGTGTTGTAGGCATCTAGATATCACAACACATGATTTGACAGGAAACACAATAATATTATTTCTTCTTCAAATTTCAGTACAATACTACCGGTATGTCAATAGATGAGAAAATATCTCGATCGAGAATCGACCAAAGATCCATCGGGGTAAATTACCACTTCACGTGGAACGCCTATCTTGAAAGGACATCAGATCAAACAGCTACGCACTTTCTACACTACCAGCGACCTTTTCGTACTTACCGAAGGGTAACCTGCGAGGTTTCCCGTCGCCATCCTCACCTCAGGTCTGCGCCCTTACTACGTTGTCCACAATACGTCCTCAAATTCTACATGAAAACTGAGGGGGACCCAGTGACAACACAAGGATAGACAACCGTCGAGATCCGCGACGGCAAAAGCCCAAACTTTCGTTTGCGTCCTGCATGAGAAACAGTGTAGCATTTCAGCTTCCTTTGCCAGATCATAATTTTCGCATTTTCGAATGTGCCGCCAGGGTGTGAGGTAATTATTTTGGGGGGTTGCCAAGAGTGACGAAAGACGCTATCGAACGCATCCTAGAGTAGATATCCTGACTACTTCTCTCGAGTCATACACGGCTACACAGACATACATCCAGCCGAGCCGAGCTAAAAAAGCTAGCCTCAGCTCAGTACCCGCGTACCGTACCGGTGCACTCCGTACTGAACTAAATTCGAAAAGTAATAATTAGGCCAAACTAAAGAAGGTGTGTGGTTCGACTCACCCGACCGACCGTACAATTTCAGCCCGACCGTAACTTTTTTTCGGCGGGCTATCGTGTGACTGACGTACGTGGACTGAACACGTCCACGTCTACGTGCTGTGCGGCGTGAGTCTGCGGACGCAGGCGGCTCCTTTTGGACTTGACTTGTAGTTGTACTGCAGTGCAGTGCAGTGAGTGGTACGACTGCTGCCTTGTGCTGGTAGTAGAGTCTACTCGATACGCGTATACAGTGTATTTACATGTACTAAAAATATATATTAAAAAAAAAAAATCCGCCCGCCCGCCCGTAAAAAAAATGTCCATGTTAGTCGAACCACACACCTTCTTTAGTTTGGCCTTATTAGTTTGTTTTGATTTTCACTCGGATATCACCAGCTGAAGTTTGCCTCCAGGCTTTGTTCCAAGCAAGGTATTGATTTTCCTAGCGTGTTTGTGATAAAATGGGAGGCGATAAAAGCAATCAAACATCTGAGCCCCGGACGAATACCAACTGGCGTGAAGCTGCGAGGAGAGAATCAACTCCCTTCTTTCGTGTTGTCAACTTCGAGCTTTTCGCTAGACCGGTGAGTTTCCTTCTTACCAGATCAGCCAGATAGAGATTCCAAAATACCCATTTGTCACTATCACTATCAGCTGCGTCTGCAATCGGGTTTTTGGTATCGTACTAGCTACCATAACTCCACAAGGAACTAATTAATTAGTGATAATATGGGCCTACAGTCCATTTCAAAACTATAGACGCGTAGATCTACCTAGGCAAAAACCGTTATGCCAGCATCTATACCACATAAAATCTGTGATCACTTTGTGCATAATTTTTTCCAAATTGGGCGTCTGTTATCCAATCCTTTAGAAACTATATGAGAGTAATTGTGGAGCGATTCTGAGCAATATTCCGAAAACTATTCTCAAAAGGTTCCAGCCAAATTTGAAATATTTCAAAAACCCTACGCGTCTATAGTTTTGAAATGCACTGTAGTAGTATGGCATCACATTAAATTTTCACATTAAAAAAGAAAACAGAGTAGGATCCGAATCTACATGTATTTCGAACGAGGTGTGTAGTGTTTCTGCACTGTCTGTACGACTACACCCAATATTCATTTAGTGATTTACTACTAATCCACTGTTCACTACAATGCTATTTGTGGCTGAAGCCCAACTTTGCGTATTGGAGAAATGCGCTCTGATATGACAAAGAAAAAAGGGGAAGTACTGAGTATACCCTAAAAATCAAATTTTCACCAGTTATAGTCTTCGGGGTGCTGAGTCGAATGGTCTTGGTCCGATTATTCCCAATCGAACACGGTTGAGTAAGCAGTCACTCGTGCGTACACCAGTCGCCTGGTCACCGTGCCGGCAGACTACAACTTTCACACCGAGGTTCAACTCGAATGACAGGAACGCGCTCCAACAGGCTGTTAGTTGTAGCCTGCGGAAACGGTGACCAGGTAACTGGTGTACGCATGAGCACGTGACTGCTTACTCAACCGTGGTCGATTGGGAATAAGGGCCAAACGCTGCATCGCAGCCTTTTCGGACCAAAACCAGTCGACTCAGCGTCCAAAAGACTACAACATATGGGCCAATTGCAGTCGTCCGTGCTTTTATAAGAACAAAATGGCGCCTTTAGTGACATTTTGCATACAACTCCCCATCTAGTAGGGCGCATTCACCCAGTTTCGGTGGAAGTGGCGATTTCGATTGGGAATAAAGGTGAAAGGGAGTGTCTCAGCTTCCTCGGGCGTAGGATTCAGATGAAAGGCAATTTGATATCGGTTTGAATGGCATATCTCTCGCTTGCATACGATAAGCCAAACTTGCCAAATCACCAATAGGCCGTCGAAGCCTGACGTCACAGCTTCTTGACAACGCGTAGTTACTTGGCCAAGTGGTGACAAACAAAAGTCGCGTCACCTGCACTTGTCGTGTTTCCAGTGGCAGCAGCATGCTGTGAACACAGGTTCAGCATCATTTTGACTGAGGAGCGCGCGAGCGAGACTATTTTCAAATATACTGCTACTTGTCGCCGAGTTTGTAGTTTTCGCTTTGTAGAGAAGGAAAGGCCGTAGCTAATTTTTTGCTTGGCCACTGCTGTGCCTGTACTGGCGTTCGGCTTTACATGTAGTCGCCGGCCAAGAAGCAATGATGGGTGTCTCTGTTATTTCTATCGCAGCGATCGCTGATTTCTTTTAGTTCTGAGACCAACCAACTCTGGGCTCGTTTCCTTGTCCAGCGGCAAGCGAAAATCAGAACTCCTATCTCTCAGGTGCTGGTGAACACTCAGCAGGAAAACACCGCACAATGGCTTGAGAGCGAAGGAGAAACTTCTTGAAGTAAAACAAAATTTGAAGTCGCGACCTTGCACCAGTGCGCCCCAGTCAAAGTGATGCCGTGACCGCTGGAAACACGACAAGTGCAGGTGACGCGACTTTTGTTTGTCACCACTTGGCCTTGTACCTACAAGTTTTCAGGCAGTGTGACGTAGGCACTTCGACAACCTATTGTATGATCACGTTGCCATAGCGACCAGCACAGTGATGACGCACGTTCTGCTTAGCTTCGTGAGAGAGAGAAGATCGATCACTGCAGAATTTGGTCATTTTCAATTGTCTCATTGTATTCACAATGTCAAAGAAGTGCTGTGTTCAATGGTGTTAGTGCCGTGAACTGTTTATTAGTAGTTCTCCGTTGTGCACTGGGACTTGACACCGACAGGAGAAAGCTGGAGTGCGGAGACATCAGCAGACAAGCGAAAAGTGACGAACAAAGTGCTGAAATCTTGGTTGAGACAGATCAGAAGTTCAGCGTTTACCCCAACCAAGGACCATGCCGTTTGCTCTTTCCAGTTCCTGAGGATGGGCGTGATGCTTTCTGGCGACTCTCCTATCTCTCGTAACATCTTCTGAAGCCAGGTGAGACGACGGGTGGTGGAGATTGACAAACGTAATGCCGTACTTTTTTGAAAGTTTGCTGAAAAGTTTCTCAGGAGAGAAGGTGAATACCAAGCATCTTCTCCTAGAGGAACCATTTCCTAGGCTACAGTCAGCCTAGGAAAATGCAGGAGAAGGACGATAAACAGTTCACGGCACTAACAGCATTGAACACAGCACTTCTTTCACATCGTGAATACAATAAGACAATTGAAAATGACCAAATTCTGCAGTGATCAGCCTTCTCTCTCACGAAGCTAAGCAGAACGTGCGTCATCACTGTGCTGGTCCCTATGGCAACGTGATCATACAATTGGCGATTTGGCAAGTTTGGCTTATCGTATGCAAGCGAGAGATATGCCATTCGAACCGACATCATTAACGAGAGAGCTTGGAAGCTCAGGGCCCTACGCTATGCTTTTTTGCCTTGATGACCTAGACAAAAAAAAAGCATAGGGATGTTATAAATTCTTTAAAAAATTCCTTTTTTTTAGACATAACCTGGGATTCGAACCCGCACTATCGCGCGCCCTGCATTCATCCCCCGATGCACTTCGCATACATACTAATTCTTCCAAGTTGTTTCACATTGTGATCTTGCATTTGAAAGCCCTATTTGAGTTATATGCATTGTGGCCAGCCGTCTTTGATGGCACGGTACGGTAGGGGATAGGGACGGGACAGGTACGATCGAGGGTAATACGACACCGTCTCCCGTACCGTACCATCAAACACAGCTGGCCACATACAGCTTCCCGCAATATTCAAATAGGGCTTTCAAACGCAAGATAATAACGTAACGCAACTTGGAAGAATGGGTATGAATGCGAAGTGTATGGGGGAATGCATGTAGGGCGATAGTGCGGGTTCGAATCCCAGGATATGCCTGAAAAAAAGGAGAATTGAAAAATTTATAACATCCTATGCTTTTTTGCCGTCAGATACGGATAGCGCCAGGCGTGACACAAACAAACAAACACACAAACAAACACCAAATTAAAGCTGTGTGGACCCTGGCTAGCGCCAGACGTTACTGAAGTAACGTCTTCTGCATAGCTACGGGAATAATTGTCTTTCTTCTGGACAGTGCAGGGTGGATGCAAAGATCTTGGGAGAGGGGGGGGGCAGGCAGTCCAAAATGTAACTACATGTTCGTGTAGAAAGGAAAAGGACATATGGATACGAGTTTAGAGTAACTCTCCATCACTGTAACCAGATACTATATACAGTCAGAAAGTGCAACAACTAGGCACAAAACTGACAGAGTACTGAGACATTCGGAGATGTGTTGAAGCTAGGTGTCAGGACGTCGAATGCCTCAGTACTCTGTCAGTTTTGTGCCTAGTTGTTGCACTTTCTGACTGTATATAGTATCCAGTTACAGTGATGGAGAGTTACTCTAAACTCGTATCCATATGTCCTTTTCCTTTCTACATTTATTATTGGCTCAACATCCGAGTTACATGTACATCTGTTTGTAATACGGTAAAAGCAATTATTTTAAGGGGCCGTAAGTACATGTGTAACGATTTCCCAAAAATTGACCAGTTTGCTTGTACCAACATTTCTCACTCATTCTCAATGCTCACTAACAACAGTATTAGTATTGATATCTGTAAAACGTTTTCTATTTTAACGACAGATTTGTCCTCGTTAACTCGTTAAATTTAGCACTTCGTTATATATAAGGCTCTTACAGTACTCAATCTGCAGACAGAAGTGTTCTATACTATGAACTCATTGTGCTTGTTTATTTTATTTTTACTGTGCATGTCTTCCACCTGATACCATGTGAATGAGCGCTGGTTTTTCTGGGTCTTGTCTGCAGAACAAATACATCATGGCGTTTGGAGTGACCACGCTGACAGGCTGTGTGGCGTATATTGCCTACATCAATGCCGTGCACAACCCCGACGCTGACCATAGTCGAGCATCCACTACTGCCGGTGGACAGAGACGCTCCAGCAAATGGGACTGAGAGACTAGCGTTGCTGTGCTCAACTGTTTAGTGTGGAATTTGGACTCTTCCGATGCGGACACTGTCACGGAGCAGCTGCAGGGACAGGCCACGGCAGAATTCAGTGCACCGTGCCAAACTCCTGATCTGCCCAGATGTTGGCGTATGATACGCATAGAGTGTGAGCAATCTAGGCATTTGCATGGCTATGATCACCATGCGTGTGACCAGTGGTGGTACTACATGTACATGTGCCAGTTTTCCATGGTGGATAAAGTCCTGCATACTCTACTGCAATAGTGCTATCACTCCACCCGGTGACCCTTGCAGGACCAGGACCAACATTGATGACAGAGCTGTTTGGCAGTGTTTGCAGCCTTGCGTGCCGGCAGCCTACCCACACGACTGGTAGATGACCATAGCCAGTGGTCAGTGTGCACAGGAGTTTGACACTAGACTGGCCATGTCATATGTCTTGGTCCCACCGCAGCTCAAAACACGATACTATTGTAGTGAACTTGGCATTTGGCCTATTTTTCCTAGAACCCTGGGCTTGTGGTATTTACCATTTAACAGCTTTTGGACTTGGGCTGTTTAAGTCAGAGCAGGCCAGGTCTGTCACACCCTGCTTTGTTTACAGGGATTATCAAGAGAGTCCTCAACTCCTGCTGATGTGATTACTGTTGAGAATTTGCTGAGGTGCTTTACTGTCACCGACCTTCAAGATAACTTACACAAGTATGTAATGACACACTGACACACCGGTGTGTTGTAGCATTGGGACTACATATCTTTATCATTATATTAGATTGCAGTATCTTTGCTCCAGACATTCTGACATCATGCAGCTGGTCACCTTGCCCCAGGGGTTCGTCCTCCAGGCTGAATTAGGGTCACTGGCCTGTCGTCATGCAATCATGAACGATGTGCGATCACACAGCTTTCCACAGGCCACAGGTGTTGTCAGTGTTCTGAAATATTGCTCCCGCGGTGGAAGATACTGGTATGTGTGGCGTGGAATAGTGACAGATATCAATATCAAGCACGAGCTATAGTTTACACCTTACAAGTACTTCGACGTACCTATTGTCATTATGACGTGCATCACTATCAAAAGGCAAACTCAATCTTTGCTTACTGCAGTTACGGGGTAGGTGGGAATAGAAAATATCTTCCTTGGAAAATGCCAAGGCGAAACTCTGGGCTTACTGCGGTCAAGGAGTAGTATTAGTTAGCCTAATCATATAGGTGAGATTATTTGGTGATTATGAACTCTATAATTATCATCAATAGAGTAACGATATCACTTGTGGCACTCAGTGTATGTTGTTGACTTGGCAATTGTCATCAAAACGAACTATCAAGTAATGGAACAAAGCGAAGACAAAAAAAAACTAAAATGAAATTGGAAATATCTCCTGAATATATTTGAATAGTTTGACATGACCCACTCCATTGGTCAGTCTGATAGCTCTGGGCATCACGTTGAGGGATACGCTGTAACTCTTCACAATCACTGTTTGCTCGCCATGCAGCTTCGCATTAATTTCTGGAGCAGACTTTCGCGTGGCGTAGGTTGCTCTGCCAGCCAGTTATTTTTCTCCTTTTCATCATCCTCATTATCCTCATTATCATGATCACCATCATCTGTTGTTTTTCCGACTTTGTGACAAGTGGCCAAGACCTGGACGAAAGCACAAGCAACGATTGAGAATATACTTATTTCATTTTAATGATTAAAATTACCGCACTTGTCAGTGATTTGTGACAGGATTTTGGACCTTGCTAATCAGAATTCGTCTACAAGGGTAGAGTGAACAATGATATTTTGAAAACAGAACTACTACACAATGTATGTACCGGCATATGTGGCGTGGAAAGGTGAGGGAATTTTCAACTCACGTATTTCACAGCTCTTGCCAATGTAGCCGTTGAAGCAGTGGCAGATATTCGGGCTTACGCACCGACCTCTCCTAGAGTCACAGGGCTGCTTGCATATCGCTGCAATGTACAGTCACACGATGCAGAAGAGAAAAGAAATTTTAAATAAACAGAGACCCCAGCAGGAGTGTGTGTCAGAGAGAGAGAGAGAGAGAGAGAGAGAGACAGAGAGAGAGAGAGAGAGAGAGAGAGAGAGAGAGAGAGAGAGAGAGAGAGAGAGAGAGAGAGAGAGAGAGAGAGAGAGAGAGAGAGAGAGAGGTGGGGGTCATGGATTCAAATTTTCAGAGTGCATGTACCAGGAAGGGATTCGGGGGGGGGGGGGGGGGGGGGGCATTCACTGTGGATGATCATCACATGACGCAGCACTTGTCTCATAGATCACTGTGCTTTGGTAGGGCAGTGACTATGCGCACCTATTCGGTTGCTCAGCTCCATTTCAGTTTTGTTTTATGTATTTTCTCACATTCATTCGCTTCTCTAGCCCACAACTTCCCGAAAAGAAGGGTTCAAGTTTTCATGGTAAGGACCAACTTCTAAGTGAGGGTGTTCTGCTACTACAGTGCGTATTGGTTATAGCGTGGTCGTGTAAAAGAATATACTGCCTACAAGAATGAACTCTCATGTTTTCATAATCATAACATGGATTTCAAGTGCACATTTATTCTTTCAAGCAATTTTATCGCATAGTAGAATATATCGGTCCTAAGAATGGACTTTGTGTAGCGAAACATGCCAGATTAGTACAAAGTGTATCGCCTGTCCAATTCCGTTCTGATCTGACTCTCGTTGCGTCGTAGTGCTGCAGATTCAACTATTGTGGTCATGTAACTCATTTTGCATAGCCACATGGTAAGACTATGTGACTATGACCAGCCACATGCACAGAAGTACTGTCATCATGTACGATGATCTTCCTGCCTCTGCGCACATGCATGTGATATGCCACACTTGATTTATCGTGTGTAAGAAATATCGGAAATAAGAATAGAAAGTCGTTTTTCAAACACCCACGCTATAACCGATACCTACTGTACATGTGTTCCAATAACTGTTCCTACAAATCCTACTTCAAGTATTCAACAGGATTATCCGTGTTGTGGACGCTATGTTGGTGCTGTGTGCAAGTTGTGTAGGTCAGGCGGGAGCACAGAGTTGTGGTCTGACGTTCAAAAAATAATGGAGTAATATTTTGCAAGTACACACTACATGATGTACATGAGTAAGTTTACCTCTGCTGCAGCGCCTCCCACTCCAGCCCTTCCGACATCTGCACCGGTCTGGTGATACGCATTTGCCATGGTTACAGGAGCCTTTGCAGATTGCTGTACACCACACGCACACGTGCACGAGCAGGAAAACAAAAGACAACGTAACATTACAACGTGTACTTGTGCACCAGTATTTATCCAGTATTCATGCCAACTTGTGACAAAAATGATGAGGATTGCAACTCAAGACAACTGGTACTGTTAGTGTCCATGTCCAGGGGGATGACTGATGACTGATGACTGATGACTGATGACTGATGACTGATGACTGATGAGGGTGTTGCCACATTTTCGTAAACCGAGGCCTGTGCTATGAACGCCTCAGTTGAGAACAAGAGCATGGCGAGAACTCACCCCGGTGGCAACTGGAACCTTTCCAGCCTTTATTGCACACGCAGATGTTGGGGGCAACGCACTGGCCATTCTGGCATGGCTGCTGGCACACAGCTGTAACGACAAAATGGCCGCACACAAGCAGAGGGTCAGAGTAGCAGTGGTGTTAGCCGAATTTGGACGTCGTCCCTATCAGAATGCCTCCATGGACCTTTGAAGTAGAAGGCCTTTACCAGTACCTATAAACAGAGCTGTGTAAATAATGCTAAGTATGTAGGTACTTCGGAGTATATACGTGTGTGTGTGTGTGTGTGTGTGTGTGTGTGTGTGTGTGTGTGTGTGTGTGTGTGGGTGTGTGTGTGTGTGTGTGTGTAAGTCTCAATTAATCAAAGGCGTACATGTAGTTATGGCGGTGACACCGACACCCACTCAACTGGATTCCTTTGGAGGTTGGCCTTGCCAGCCGGCACCAGTCCCTGTGTCCGCTAATCACGTGTATTTATGTCTACCATGTACAAACACATGCTAACGCACAGAGTTTGATATGAAATAGGGCACAACTGACCTTGACTGCATGTGGGACCTGACCACCCGTCCTGACACTGGCAAATACCTTGCCTGCTCCGTGTTGTGTTGCACATACCATGCACACATCCACCGCTGCATGGTCGTATCTCTGCAAGTAGGCGAAACACGTAACAAAACAAAGCAAACAAACACTGTCACACCTTCCATTGGCTAGACTGACTATGAAAGGTTTCAAAACACAATCTCCTCTGACTGGCCCTGAGTAAGAGAGGCTCGCAAATAAAATTCTGATTAGAACTGGTTCCTGTGCCGGATCATTATACTTCTTGCAGCAAGCACGTTCCTGGCAGCAGGGCTAAATGATTTCTAAAATCAGCAATTCCAGTACACTTACCTGGTTTGCAAAGTCGCCCACTGTAGCCCGGAAGACACTGGCACTTGTTTGGAGCAATGCACTTGCCTCCGTGCCTGCACTTCGGTCGGCAGATAGCTGTGAACGCAATCACACACCATGCAACGATGTCAACGTCAATCGCCATTCATCACATCTTCTCACTCACAGTATCATCGTGAGGTTAAAGCACTGTGTCATGTCACTTAACATATGTTGCGAACAGTAATGAGTTACTCATGATGTGACCCAAATATAGTGCTACAGCTGCATAATTTTGATCTCCCTATTTCACTCTCTACCTACCATTATTATCGGACAACCTTCACATACTTTGAAATTGGAGGGAAATTCAAATAAGTCAAATTGCCAAGTTCCTGTACATATAGGAGCCATCTTTAGTCCCCTGTACCTTGTTCACATGTCGGGCCTGTCCAATCCTGATGACACTGGCAGACACCGTCATTATCGCCCATAGAACTATTACAGGTCCCGTGCACACAACCTTGTCCACAGCTGCGATGCGGCGGCTCCTCCATTTCTACACATCATAAACGGCAGGTAACACACAGTCAGCGCACAGCAGCAGAACAGGCACAGTGCGTGTGTGGCAGCAGCACATTGCGGAAACTTTAGTCCGTACACATCTGCTTGGCCTATCCTCTTAATTAACACCAGCAGGCCAGCTTGTTAACCCAATAAGAGTGTGTCTGTGGAATCTACACAACTTGTGAACCACTGGCCTAGAGTCAGAACATTTATGCCTGTGCCACACAGCTCTTGAAAAAGTTCTCAAGTGCTTTTGTTCCCTTTGTTACCATCGATTCCCAGTGCTTATTTTTCGTGTAGAGAATGTCCAGCTCTTGGCAGTTTGTCGCTCACAATTGGTTAATCAACACACTACAGCAATAACTTAATCTGCTTATAAACGACTGGTAATCTCAGAAATTGTTGTAGTGGCCCCTGAATAATATTGAGAAAGAGTTAGTGTCCTGGTTCTTGAGGGTATGGCAAGAAGTACCGTCGTAAACAAGCTGTCATGTGCAAAATGGTACTTGATGACGGTTTGCATGAAGTGGAGAAAATTGCCTTTGAAAGTGCAGCGCGTGGATCATTTAGTTATCCGTAAATTGAGGCATAGATGGTCCGGACATTTCCACCATGGGTCTGTGATGAATTGAGATTTTTGGACCTGGTTTTTCCACAATGTTCCCCTTCCCAGGCAGTCTGTGAAACAAGGTGGCCAAAATCGTTAGCGGTTGTCCCAAGTGTGTCCCTTTTGCATCATAATGTACCTAGCTTGGACTTTGGTGGAGAGATGATCGAAGGGTAATAATATCCATGTGCTGGTAATCATTACTGTCAGACCTAGCTTAACCGCACACATCCGTTTTCCACAAAAAATATCCGGATAGGCGAGGGAACCGGATAATCGAACACCCATACTGTATGTATGCATGGAATATGCTGTAAATCGGTGACCAACGATTTTCTTCCGGATGGCGAGGGATCCGGATAAAAGAGGAAAAGATAAGCGAGGCCTGACTGTACTCCTTATGTAATCACCACAGCAGATTCAATGCACTTGGACCCACTGCATTACAAGGACAGGGCAGTGTAAGTAAAAACTTAAAAACATAGCATCATGAACGATAGTCGTTGCTTACCATGTCTGCAGCAGACCACTCCACTCAGGCTGACATCGTGGGAGCACTCTCGCCGCGGACGATACGACGTAGCATCAACACGTCCCTTGCCGAAGCATGACCTCTCCTTGCGGCTAGCTTTCCGCGTGCGCGTCCTACTCCAGTAGCAGAAGCTTCCGACACCGGCCATTTGCAGCGGCACTGTACTCCCTTCCCTGCAGCGCTGACAGGCTTGCCCTCGGCTGTGCGCCGCATTGATCGCAAAGCATCCCTGAAGACCTCTTCTCTTGGAATAGGAAAAGTCTATACTGCCCAGTTCTTCTGTGTTTTCATGACTGCACACCTGGAGAGCAAGTAGCAGAAATGACCGGGTAACCATGGGAACAGTGAATGCCATCATAATTATGCATGTCTCATTGTCTACACTGCTAGTGTGTTGGTTGTAGTATACCAGCAGCTGGTAGCACAGCACATCTAGCGTGACATCTTTAGTGCTTACATTCTCTATCAGGGAGTAGCAAAATACCGGTATTTTACTACTCCCTGTTCTCTATGCAGTGTTGCAAGACAGTGCTATCAGGTTCAAAAGGTTGGCACATACACTGGCTTGTACATGTACCACAAACAAAGTACTGAGTGTTCTTCGAAGTACATGCACTGCTGTGAACTTGGCTTAACCTCGGATTAGACAGAAGAGGATTGACTTGAGCTTACTTCTAACATGCCATGCATCCCCATGCCAAGTCTTACCTTCCACCCCGGTGCACACAGTGTATCAGCATTCTTCACATGTCCAGACCATGCTCCTTGGCATGCAGCCACATCCCGCAGATGATACAGGCCGGAGCGATTCTGAGCTCTGCAGCCATTGAAGTAGATTGGTGGCTCGGTTTCTTCTAGCGGTTCGTTAAAGCCCTGGTCGGTTTGGCTGGCATTGTATACAAGTGGATTCGACTCTTCATACGTCAGATCGACAACTAGCCGGCCCGATGTTGTCGGCGTCCTTGGATTAGGGGATGGTGAAGCTGGATGGATAAGAGGAAGAACATTGGACATGTTTGTCACAGTGTTACTATTTTTTCAGGTTCATATGCCAACACCAGGTCCACTTTTCGCAAGGAATTGCCAAGGATGCATGCAGTAGTTGCTACAACCTACTTCATATAGATGTATGTATTTTGAAAATTGGTGCTGGATATAAGCAGTCCGCTCTGCATGCATATGTACTTGTAATGCAACGTGTACATACACGGTGAGAGCCGGTCTGTACTTACTTGTGTCCTCAATATCCTTGCAGCATACGGCACCTGTTGAAAAGTGCTGCCAGTAGGTACAGCTTTCAGTGCCATGTGGCCGTGCGCCGTGGTCATGAATGACCCTGCCCGACGCCAAGCAGGAAACCGACCGCCTATAGCCGTACTCCTCGCTAGCACACTGACGGCCAATGCCGGCCATCTGGTCAGACTCGCCCGGCTGTCCGTGGCACGGCCTGCACGAGTCCTGGTTCTGTGCAGCGTTGTAGGCAAAGCAGTCGCTGTTCAGCTCGCCGCCTGCAAAGTTCGACGGCATGACGTGCGGTGCTTCCAGCTGACGAAGGCTCCGACGGTCGTCCCATCTGCACACGTGATAGCCTGCGGCACACAGGTTGCTGGCATTGGATATGTGACCCACCCACTCGCCACGGCAAGCATATACTGTCTCCGACAGGTGGACTCCATTGTTGCCATAGCAGCCTATCGACAGAGAAGAGAGGATATTCAATCATCAGTTACCAGTACAGCAGAGTAGTACTCGTCTACATGCAATGCTATTGATAAGAGTACTAGATAATTATAGCTGGACTCCATTGTTGCCATAGCAGCCTATCAACAGAGAAGAGAGGATATTCAATCATCAGTTACTAGTACAGCAGAATAGTACTCGTCTACATGCAATGCTATTGATAAGAGTACTAGATAATTATAGCTGGCTAGCCAGTGTTATAAGTTAGAACATAACATTATGTTGCTCCATGAAATTACTTCTTTAAAAAGTATTTTTAAAGTTAATACGAGCCGGCCCCAGATAAGCTCACTGCACATAGTTTCCTCATCTTGGGGCGCATAATAGAGAGGGCTTGCATGACATTACTTTTTGGCATGGCGTGAAATATTGCGTCGGAAATGGCATTCAAACGTCGGATTCGAAAGCAAGCATCGGAGCTACCCTACGTGCAGCTCACGCTAGAATCCGACATTTGTATGCAGTTTCTGACGCGAAATTTCACGCTATGCCAAAAGTAATGTCTTGCGAATCCTCTCTAATGACATCATTGGTCACATGAGAATCCATCATGCCGCTGATCCTACTGCTAATGTAAGTAATGTCGCGCTGCCAGGTATTAGCTAACCGCTAGGTCACATAATAATCTACAAGTAACTGGGGCCTCTGCCCTAATCATCCCTAAGTGTCTTGCAAGTTTGTTGTTGGTTTCACATGTGGAGATGTTCAACGGTGTGACAATCACTATGTGTTAGTCAGACCGGCCTGCTTGCAGAACGTTCAGTCTACCTATGACTGCAGGCAAAGTATGCAGTGCACACACCCTTCTCTGTCTCCCCACAAATCAGAGAAAGCTTCAACTGCATGGCCGACAGGAAGAGTGTACAAGTGATTGTGCCTCAGCTTCTCATGGACGGGACAGGGCACACTGGGTGTGGCATTACTACTATTAGGATATGAGTGCATCTTGCCTAGCAAGTTTGAGGAGCAAGGCTGAATTCACCATGGCTCTTGTGCAGTGCGACCAGCGGCCACTGAGTCTGTGTCACCATCACTATCATCTCAGCCCGTACCGTGCTCCAACTCCAGCTCTCAACTACAAAATTAATACAGGCTACTACTAGTCACATTACGCTCTCTTTAGTTAGTTTGCTATGGTACTATGGTAGTGAGGAGAGTAGTACTGCAGTCACCTAGAGACTGACAGAGACAGACGTGTGAGACGGCATTCCAACTTATTTGGAGTACAAGGACGCTCTCTGTCTGTCTGAAGCTGGCCCTCTCCGGCCTGAGTGAGAGGTGTGGTAGAAACTAGAATCTAGCCGTGAGCATGTGTACATCCTTACAATCCAACACGCTTCGGCACTGGAGCACATCCAGGAACACAATGAAGCCGCCGCAGGCAGTTACAAGGAACGCGCCTACCGCGCTCCTCAACACGTGGCAGAATCAGATACTGTCCTTCTCCCGCATTGTTGTCGAGGGGGCCCGCTCCATTGTCGGAGTGAACCAAAGCGGAGTGCAATACTGTGTAATTCGATTTCATCGACTGTTGTTCTAACTCCAAGCCAGGGCCGCGGCGGTGAAACAACATTGCAGTGCAGGATTGCTTTACTCCACCACGCCGCATTCAACACAAGAATGCAGGCGCATGCACTTAGGGAAAGCAAATATCTCTCCAGAAAAGTAACACGTTAGTTGCTGCTGCTCGCCACGCAACTGCTTTTCGACTGCCCAAACTATGTCCACGGGGCATCCTTTCAGGCTTTCTACGTGTTGATTTCTCAATTGATGTGTGGTTTGTAGTGCTTCTCTGCACTGTCCAGGTCATCTGACCCGATACTCGCCATACTACTAGCACTCTCTGCTGATCTTGTAACACACAGACCCCGACATGCAGCACCTATCAGAACCTCAAAGAGGAGCGAAAGAGCCGCTCACTTGAGCCCAGACACCAAACTGTTGGTCCGGTCCTCGTGAACACTGAGACCTCACGAGCTTCTCAACCCAGCTGTCATCCGGGAGTTGACTGGGCAAACAGTAACCATAAAAATAAAACATTTCAAGGCTCGCGTGAGATTCGGCAGTCAGACAGACTTTTTCACGTAATCCTAGGAACGCCACCACCGCCCTCTAGCTCTGTCACAGTCTGTGGATCAAGGCGCAGATGCAACTCCTAAAGCGATGGGAGGTGAGTTGATCAGACCCACCGCAAAGTGGTCAAAGACCGAAAATCCTATTTGGTGCGTCCGCGAAGCATAGCAGGTCAAAACAATTGATCCACTGAAGCTGGGCTGGGATGCTTCCGAGCGAATGACAGTCTACTCGGCTCTCTGTCATTTGCCGCTTCCGTAGCTGGCCACACAACACACAGAATTGCTGCTAGCTCAGCTGGGCCGAGCCAATAGTCCCTGAGACTGCTCCGCGGCAACGTGCATGTGCTAGCAGTGTGGCATGGACACGTGGAGTAACACAGAACTTCAAAGTGACAGAGATATGTCTCCGCAAAAGTTGGATATCAGATAACAAGCAGATAGTGAAGGGCTGAAGGCTCACAGTTTTACGTGGCCAGTGATGACACACTGTTCTCCAAAACTCCACGGAAACAATCACATTCTCCCCAAGCGCGCCACATGCTCACTTATTTCGACCAGCTTTGACAATAGGTGATTCAGCTATGACTAATGGTCCACGCAGTATACCCCACATGCCATCTCACGACCATATGGGTAGAGAGAGTCTACCCTGTGCTCAACCTCAAAGACGAGGCAAGCCGGCTTCAGAAGGGTAGTCTAAGCTCCCAGTCAGCGCGGGACACAGCCGTAGTAGTACCAGTTATGATCTACTTAAATTATACATCCTTGTCTTGGCTTCTCGTTGTGTTATGCGTTATGTATGGCAGGCTGCATCAAATAGTCACTGCACTCCCAGCACTATGCACAGTCATCATGTACATCAGTACATCATGTACTAGATGAAGAGTTGGCCAGTTCTGGTGGTGGTGGTGGTGGTGTGTGTGTGTGTGTGTGTGTGTGTGTGTGTGTGTGTGTGTGTGTGTGTGTGTGTGTGTGTGTGTGTATGTGTGTGTGTGTAATGTCTTGCTCATTATCAGATACATGTACATCAAGACGGTATGCACACTTGCTCATTATTGCCTCCTGCTTTCTCCATTTTACAGATGGCTTGGTCTTGTACAAGTCTGGGGACCCCGCGCCGGGCGAGCATGTGCCAGTTACACGAATAGACAGACCCCTTCCAGAAAGTCATGTAGAAATAGTGCTGCACGATGTAGCATGATCCACACTCACTCACTCACTAGTGCCATGTGCATTGAAGATTGATGTTGTCGACTTGCATTAAATTTTGATACAGACACTAGCTATTATGACTGATTCCAGTGATGGCAGTGATGTTGTAAGGAGGCGTGCTACACAGCCCAACTCTAGACAATACTGTCTGAAGATGGCAAAACGCTGCCAATGACATACTACTACATGTACTACTACTAGTAACCCCAAACTGACTAACAGGGTAGCGGGTATTTACCAGAACGACTAAGTGTAAGAACAGTTCGAAAGACCTCCCCTCGTTTCAATGTCAGCCACGCGTTACTTACCTCTCCCACATGGCGCCAGTTGCACCTGCGAATCTCTCAGAGTACTCTACCGTGCACTGTCCTTTCCGATGTCCCCCACTCTGGACACCTTGCTGGCCCGCACGTCACAAGCCTGACGAACTGCGGTCCGCAACGGCACTAATCTGTAACCAGCATAGCAACATCTGTTCTGTTGACAGTACATGTACTACTAGTGTTGCATGCCATAGGATCCTGTGACCAAATCTGATCAGTTCTCCTCACCTCAGTGCTGCTTTAATTTCACCTTTAGGTCGGCCATTCCCGACCATGCATGCGTGCTGTCGACGCATGAGCCTATGCTAAACATCCCGAAGGTCCCCTTTCTTGCATTTCCGGCGGTCAAAGGCCCAAGGTAGGAAACATACAGACACACACACACACACGTACAAGTCTACAATACATGGCCAGCACTGACCTTCCAGCTCTTTCTCAGCTGTCCAGATTGCGACTGGCAGTGATCCCATGAGCAGCAAGACGAATCTGTATACACGGGCAGCGTCCATCATTGGCTCCGAACCCTACTGGACACTGGACAGTCCGTCAAAGGACAGATAACAAGAGCATGAAGAAAATGCTGCATGCGTTTACTTCCTTCCCGTTTGCACTCCGGCACAAGTTGGATATGCGTCGGCTACCTAAGTAATGCGCTGGGCCACACAAACTATGCGTGAGACCTTAGCACACATTGCTCTGTGCAGCTAGCACAGCTCTGCTTACGTGTTGGTACGCCAGGCAGTTAGGTTAGCACGGTGCTGCTGCTGCTGCTGGGATGTCCCGCGGTACTACGCGATAGGGTGCTGCTCTCTATGCCGTGTGGCTGGCTAGGCTAGCTGATTGAGCAGTTGCTGAGACCAGTGAATGCACCTGCGCTCGCCACTTTCCTTGCGCTCCCCGTGCTAATGCTTATGTTCTAAGTGATCTACGTCGTTCTATTGCTACAGTGCAGTGTGAATCTTGTGTGAAGTGTCGCAGCAGTTAGAAACAACTCTCACTATAAAGCCTGCAGCAAAACACTGAGCAACACTATCACTGGAAGATCGGGAACAACATCACCGCGAAGTCGCGCACGTGCATGCTCCGTACTGGTCTACCTGTCAGTGTCACTCATCGTGAACCATGAAGCTCCACGACCCACGAAATGCTCGCCTCGTGCCTCGTGGCACGGGAGCTAGGACTCGAGGATCTGTTACTGTATTAGTATTATCTAACACTTACAGTACGTGGTGTATGCATTAGCAATGCTGCATGCTAGCAAGCTTCGGCCTGCTGCGTCGGGGGAGGGGAAACCTCACTCCAGGGGAAGTCTTCACTCACGGCGCGTTTTCGACGCTAACAAAATACTTACCTCGGTATTTGATGGGCGATCGGATGGTGTGTGTCCGCGTGTGCACCTCGTTCTCTTGCACCTTGCGCACTGATGTTGGAAATTGGACCTCAGTGAGTCACTGGCAACTAAGTCGGTTAGGGTCGCAGCTCAGGTGAACTGCCCAGAGGGATTTGCTGAACAATCAGGAGGACGTTGGAAGCTGCTTCACGCCGCGACTTCTTCTCCTTCCTGTGGTCGTCGGGACGTGAACGTGTGTACTACTCCAGTGGAGGTACGTGGAGGAAAAGGCATGATGTCCCGATTTGACCAACCGCACCTGTGCATCCTTGCCGGCGGATGTCTGGGGTGATCTCACTTCGCTGTTTGCTTGCATCCATCATATTCACCAACAGCAGGTATCATATTACCTAAAATGCGTAAAGATATCGGTAACCAAAATAGGCAGTTTCTGTCTGTTATCACATGGGGCGAAGGCATGAAAATCTAAGCCTGGTCGCATGGGGTTTGAACCAGCGACCATGTGCTTGAAAAATCACCGGACATACATGTACATCAGTGCTTACCACTCCACCAGAAGGTACTACTGACCCAAACCTCCTAGGGTTGTTTGTCGACATGATTTTATTACTGTGTACACGCATTGCCGAGCAGGTTCAAAGGTTCAAATGCCCTTCCACCACGTGCACAGCCATCAACCATCACAGTGTAGTTTTGATGCAGACGCCATTTTGAATGGAGGAAACCCGACGCGATTAAAGACCAGCGCGTTCAAGCGTAGAGAACTGGAGATACTGACTCAGGAGAAGAGGCTAACGTGAGAAGGGTCTATCGGTGTCCTATTGATCTTCTATCACTTGTGTCAAGGACTCTCGATCTGCCTCTCCGTGCTGCTGGTCCCGTGAAAAATATTAGATGGCCACGAACCAACATGTACCAGTTCAACGCTAATAGTAATACTAGTAACCTGACATAGGTGCTGACTACTCGGCGGCTCCATAGATCTTTGAAGGTATTCGACCCCATCAGTGTCCTTAGCGATTGAAACTTCACACACTGAACGGGCAGAGTCCTAACTAATTACAAACACAAGTCTTGTAGGTTTATAGGAGTCGTAAGGACACGAGGAGGAAGGCCTGGCCGCAATGTGCATTTTTCTGCATTTCAAACCTCAGGGAATGATGGTAACTGAGTCAGCAGTTCGTCACTCGGCCTTACTAGCCCTTAGACTTAGTATAAACTACTAAAGCGTTACAGGGCCGGCCAGGACCCTACAAAGGAGGATATCATAGCTAGCGATATGGTGTCTCAACGTCTAGATCGTAGTAATGGGTGGACCTCGTGACTGGTTTGACACCACCGTGGAATGCTTTATCGTCTAGTGGCGTGAAGCTAGCCTCTTCAGATCTTGTACCAGAACACACAACCTCCTCGTAAGCCGAGGCGCCGACCTTGCCCATGGTTGTGTCCTGAACTTGTATCTGCTGTGCGTCAACGAAACAAGGCCCACCGACTTCTTTCACGCTCTCCAAACGATGTCCGCCTGCGAGAGCAACACCGCACTCTCCGCGCAGCCGCGCGCAAGCTAGATCGGAGGCTAAGGGATCAGTATTTTCAAGCTCGCCTACAGTCGGCCGGAAAGGATGGACGGAAGCTCTGGAATACGATAAACGTGGTGACTGGACGAGCGAAAAGTTCAAGCCCACCACAAGTACCTGTTGGAATCCTCTCCCGAACTTTTGGCGAAGTTGTACATGACCCTGGACGACCAGACGCGCTGTGCGCCAACGCACCAGCCGAACGTGAAGCACCAGCATTCACGGAATTTGCGCCTGTTTCGACGGAGGACATTACGGCCCTTCTCCAGTCCGTTGACGCGTCAAAAGCAACTGGACATGATGACTTGCCGGGTATTGTCCTTAGAAACTCGGCATCAATACTGGCTCCCTCGCTCAGCATCATTTTCAATACTTCGTTATGTCAGGGGTGTGTTCCCCGTCAGTTTAAAATTGCTAATGTGTCGCCGCTATTCAAAGGTGGCGGCCTTGACCCTTGTCAGCCTACTGCGTATCGACCTATTTCTCTACTACCAGTCGTTTCTCGCCTCCTCGAGAAGATCGTCAAAGCTCAGCTTACGTCCTTTCTGACCGATCACAGTATTCTCCCTGACTCGCAGTTCGCGTACAGGAAGAACCACAGTACGGAGGACGCTCTTGTGCTAGCTGTCAATCGCTGGCTGAAAGCGAAGTATGAGCGCAAACTCACAGGTGTGATATTCGTGGATATGTCGAAGGCTTTCGACTGTGTCAAACACACCATCTTGGCACAGGAGCTATCCGACATTGGGGTCGGCGGTACTGTCCAGATATGGTTCACTAGTTACCTGAGTGAGCGGCTTCAACGCGTAGTCGTGGGCGGAAATTGCTCGGAATACGTCGCATGCAGTCGAGGGGTGCCGCAAGGATCCGTCCTCGGCCCCCTCCTTTTCACACTATACATCCGTAACCTTCGATGCTGCTTGCCCCAGCAGGTCACAAACCAGGAATTTGCAGACGACATTGCAATTGAAGCCTCGGGCAGTTGCGAACAAGTGTGCTCTTCTCTAAGCACAGCCATCACTGGCCTGTCGCAGTGGTTGGAGGACCGCGGGCTAATGCTGAACCAAAAGAAAACGCAAGCTCTGTTGATTACCCCAAGAGGCCCAGCCCCTGACACAGATAACATTCGAATTCGCTGTGGGAATGCAGCCCTTGCAGTTGTGGAACAAGCGCGGTACCTGGGCGTAATGGTAGATGGGCAGCTCTCCTGGGAGCCTCACGTCAATCACACAATCCAGCAGGTGCGGAAGTCAGTAGGTGCGCTGTGGCGGAGCCGCCGAAGCCTCACCCTGGCGTCAAAGATCCTGTTTTACAGGTCGATGATCCAGGGTAGGTTGTCGTACGCTTCCAACGCCTTTTATCCGTCACTTCAAATTGGCAACATGGAGCCCCTCACACGTCTAACGAAGTGCGCTATCCGCGGCTTCTTTGGTCTGCCACCGTGGTCGCGCACGAGCCCGATCTTTGAACAGCTCCGCCTCACCACCCTGGAGGACATGTTTAACATTAAGCTCCTCATCTTTGTCCGTCGTTGTCTGTTCTCCCGAGCTAGCTCCCTCTTCACCAGCTTCTTCGTGAGAGTTACTGGTGACCGCACTCGGGGAGCAGCACATCACCTCGTTCGAGTACCATTTTGGCCCGGTCCTGCGGGTCGAGCGACCATGCAGTTCATCGGCGCAGTCCTGTGGAACCAGCTCCCGCCTGATCTCCGTTCCGAGCCCAGCCACCTTCAGTTCTGTGCCCTGCTAAAAGCGCATCATGGCTCCGTTTAAATGCTTTTCGGCTAGTGGGTTTCTGTGGTATAGCGGACTGAAGAATAGTAAACGTGTTTTGCAATATACATGTATGTATGAAGCTATTATAGTATGTTCCCATTCCGTTTTTGCTTTGGTGTAGCCCTGAGGTTGATTGCTTATTTATTTCTACCCTTCCTCTCTCCATACTTCTGTCCCCCCCCCCCCCTCTCTCTCATTCCTTCTGTCGTCCACATGTATCAAAGGAGGCGAAATCGCCTGTTTGTGGTGCGACGTTAAATAAACTTCTACAACAACAACAGTGCAAAACAAGCAGACTGTGATGTTTGCGCCTTTCCTCCGTTGCTAGAATATTTCAGGACCGTTTTCGGCCATCATATCGGCAGCATGTCAAGTCTTTGAGTAGACCGAATCAAAAGGAGATCTTCTTTTTTTTTAGTTTGGATCACTAGTCCACAGGTTCTAGTCAGTCAGGTTATCTAGCGTGGCTTAGCGAGCAGTGTTCCTTGATCCTAGACAGTTATACTTGCATGCATGTAATGGGGCTAGCCCGCCGCCATCGGCCTGTTGCACTGTTGGATGGGTACAGTATGTTAGTTCCGCACGTATTAAAATTATAAATACATGTATATTCGGCGTGCAGCTTATGGAACGACCCCTATTCTCATCTGCATGTAACTGGTAGGGTCCGGCGGATTCTGCCGGCAGAAAAATTGGCAGAATTCGGTACTTTTTCTGGTAAGTTTCATGCATGTTTGGTATGTGGATAAAAAAATGGAGCAGAATTCGATGAATTGCCCGCCATAAGGTTTGTATGGCTCTGCCAATTTCACTGCCTTTCGAGCAGAATCTGCCACCTTTTCGAGCAGAATCCGCCAGTCCCTAGTAACTGGTGCGTGTACAATGTATGGTTGTGGTTCAGCCCTGTTTGACATTACCCGTTAGGAGCAGGAGGAGCCAATCAGAACTAATCATATCGGGCCACCAGTGACTACTGTATTCTCCCTGCACACCTACCTGCCTACATCATGTACACACGCCTACTAATATACACAGTCGCTTTTGCTGTCGCAGCCACTCGTAGTCCGGTTAGTCCAGCTTCACTGATGTCGACCGAGGTAGCTCTCTTGCTACTGTGCTGCAGTGTTATACATGTAGTTACATATCCAGCTATTGTCTCTGCTCCGTTCAGGGAATTCAGAATAGGAAGACGGCTGTACCACCCGCTCTTTTCTCTTTGCTATTTTCTTTTCCTTCGCTTCCTTGTTATTGGGCAACCTGCCCATTAGAATCTGCGAAGTAAAATGAACAACAACTCATATTGGCGATGGTGCCATCGTGAGAATAAAGACTTCAAACAACAACAACAACGACGACGACGACGACGGCGACGACGACGACGACGACAACAACAACAACAACAACATGTACCCGTACCATAATGAGTGTAATGTACATGTACATGTATGATGTAGCTTCCGTTGGTGAATAGTGCATCTTCATGAGATGGGGTAAATTCCGTAATCATGATGGGTGGAAGGAAAGGGGTGGGGGGGGGGGGGTAATCATTAGAGTGGTATGATCGAACGCGATTTACGTACACACGTTACTTCAAAGTAATTGTGATAGTACATGTATATTATCACCATGGTCACCCCGAGCTATTCTCATGTCGAGTCAGTCAGGAAGTATGGGACGTCAGGCATGTACATGTACATGTATGATGGATGCACGTGCGATACGTGATTTTGAAGGTGTTTGTTTCTGGAGCGATAGATTTGATAGCTCGATCATGTCGATTCGAAATTGCATCCCAGGAACCCTGGGCGTACCTTGCCTAGGTTAGGCCTACAAGTACAACTAACTTAGGCCTTAGGTGCACGTAGACAAAACTTGAAGAGGATGTAAGCTTATAAGCTGCAATGTGCCTTCAGGGAGCCGTTTAGCCGATACGTGAGCAGTCATGCGCTCTACGTTCTCAAGTGACTCGGGTCTGAGGCCCTGGACGTCGTATGGTCTGTGCAAAGTCATGTCCACTGCGTATCGGTGGAAGGAGTGGTTAACTTGACATGGAGCCGGGAGCAATCACAACGACTGAGCACTTCTGTGTGCTGGTCACGGGCCTAGGCTGGCAGAACCTTGGCCGATCATCTATGACAGTAGTAAACAAATCGTCACAGGAGCTC